TCAGATTTTAACGGAGACGAAATTGTCACTTAATGTCTTAATTTTTCAATCCATTAATAAGATTTTTATTGAATTAAAAGTAAGCAATTGAAAATTTTTAAAAATCAAGCCGTATTTCTAGTAAAGTGTTATAAAAACCTTCTTAGTGTTCACTTGCAGTGTCTAATAGACCCCTGCTGTTTTAACTTTCTTAATTCCTAGGTACAGTTTCAATCATTAATTACTAACACAATCCACTTTAATTTTTATTCGTAAAAAAAAGACATTTAAATTTCATTTCCATTCCAAAAAATACTTTTGTTAATGAAATTATATGGTTTGGAAGGTGATGTGCCTATACTTGTATATGTGTAGATATAATTACGATATAGAGTAGGGGTCCGATTGTGTTACTGCGCAGGCGCGTAAGGAGGGTGAATTGAACCCATAGCGGACCCGAATTACCAATAACCTGAGCAAGTATCAACAATTCCGAGATGCTTTATTTTTCTATTGACTGTATTATTCAGCATAGCCTAAAGACAAAGACGAAGAGATGGGAAACGAGATGAAATCAACGCTCTCGTCATGAGATAGATAGGTACAGAAGGTACATTGCGGATAAAATTGTATTTTTAATTAAGGGACCTATTATTATAAATTATAAATAAAATTATTTGAAAAACAGATTGAATTTTGATGCTTTTTTACCTATTTTAAATACTTTTATAGATTTAAAATTTATTGCAATTTTTGGTGACATATTAACCACCGACTAGCTTTCCGCCAGCGGCTTCGCCCGCGTGGTTTTGTATTATACATAAAACCTTGCTTATGAATCACGCTATCTATGAAACAAAACCGCATCATAATCCGTTGCGTAGTTTTAAAGATTGAAGTATACATAGGGATATAGGGACAGAGAAAGCAACTTTGTTTTATACTATGTAGTAGCATAATAATTTATCGTTTTTGGTAATGCTGTATTGATTAGCTTATAAAAAACCTAGTCATTGATCGATGTCTCCAGTACCGGGAATCAGGGACTTAGGTCTTCCTATCATGGCCGTGGCTCTTTAGGAAAGCAGACATAGTCTACTAGCTACAAATTTGTATTATGAATGGCATTTCTCTTAATCGCAACGTATATTCTGTCCCTTTTCCTTCGACATCCTACCACAGACCCGGCCGTTTTCTTTGTTGTTTTTAAATCCCGTCTGTACAAATTCTTAATACAAGTGCAGTTATAACCTCCACAATCATCAACCAAATGCGCTGATACTGCGTCCTTCAGTCTATTCATAATGATAATAATGAAGAACAAACTTTATTTACATTAGACAACATGTGTCTTTTATGCTTTCACGACCAAAATGCTAGACCGATTGTGAAGAAATTTAATATTGACATAATTTGAGCAGGCCTATGGTGTAACGTAAGCACTGATTGATGTGGCAAAATGATATCCTGAAATATCTGTCTGTTGAATCCTAGACCAAACCTGACGGTGATCAGCTGACGGTTGAAAAGCTTGTTTAATCATTATGCATACACTTTTACATAAGTGCAATAAGCATTAGTGAAATATTTATCTGGGAACATTTTCACTCATGGAGCAAATCTAAATAACTTCCTTATGAATCTCGATTGCTCAAATGCCACTTCTCAAAAAATAAACATTGTTTAGAAATCACTACCTAGTCAATCTAACAAATACTCATTTGTCCGTTAAGTTAGTACTGCATTACAATAAACTCATCAAGAAAATATGGGAATTATAAACCTTGAAATTCTCACCAACTTTAAATCAAAGTTTTGGGTGTCACTGATGGGACAGATTTGGGTGATACAATTAAGAGGTCAGGGCCATGATTTTTTTTTTATACTCAACTGTTTAATTCAAACTGTAGTGTGATATAAATTTTACAATATATTTAAAAACTAGCTATGCCCGCAACTTCATCAACATGGAAAGTTGCCTTAGTTAAACCTCATTACATAAACTATCTGCCAGTAAAAGTTCTGTCAAAATCTTGACAGAACTTTTAAATAAACAGGCAAAGCAAAAATGTTGTTTTGGTATATATTTACCATTTATACATAAATATGCATTTAGTAAAAAGCAATTGTTTACAAACAGATACTCCAATTTTATTTATTTGTATATATGTAACTATGGACCATGTTGGGCACAACAACATTTTTCAGAGAAAATGATTTAATATAAAAATAAAATAAATAGTCTAATAACTTGGTAATCAGAATACAGCCAACAAAATTTAAAAAATTTGTATTTTTGAATTGTTGGTTAAAATATATTTGCTGCAGGAATAGGATCACATGAAATATTAAAATGATCTTGATTGAATTTCAAGCACTGTGTGACCACTACTGTATAATGGACCCCTATCCTATTTATAAATTCCTTCTCAAAGGAGCTAAAATTATGTTGCAGAAGTATTTATGCACCACTGTAACTTATTCTTTATTTTTAGCCAATCATAAAGTAAGAGTTCCATGTACTGAATGGAGCTGAATATATAGTAATTCATACAAATATAATTATATACCTATATCATCATCATTATTCATAAGAAATAATAGTTAAAACATAAGTGGAACACCACTAATATGTTCAAATAATGAAGATTTGTATTATAATTAGAAGAATTACCTCAAAAGTAATAACTATAGAATATCATTTTGTTTTTTTTTTACTAGCTTTCTGCCACCGGCTTCGCCCTGTGTGGTCCTGTATTATATATTTTAAATCACTATATTTATTAAATGAAAACCACATCAACCTGTTTAGATAGTTTTAAAGATCTAAGCATACATTTATAAATACAGACGGAAAACAACTTTGTTTTACACTATGTATTGATTAGCTTCTTATGACTTGAGTTTTAGGCACTGAGAAAGAAGTCATGTACTCTTTGTGATTATTATGTATTAACAATGTTTAGTAAGAATGAAAATAAATATGAAATTAAAAGAAAAACTATCTTCATTTATAATTGAGATATCCAAGTCTTACTTTCGCACTGTCAGTTTATCCCCAGCCTCAATGAAATTGTATCACTTAAGTAAAGAGACTTCAGTATTGAATCAATAAATTTCCTATACAGGTGCTTTTCTTTAGCAAAGAAAAACTAAAACAAATTTAAATTATGCAAGTCATTTTATATGTTCTTATGTTCAAAACAAAACCTTATTTGTAATAATGATTAGCTTAGCTGCCATTTACAAAACAAATGCATAACAGTCCTACAGTTCTTTGATTTCATGTTTTTGACATATATTTATTATGCAGTTGTTTTCAATAATATGCTATATGCATATTATTGAAAACAACATACATATTTTTTCTACTAAAGTCAAGCATTATATTTTTTCTCAAAGAAAAATCCTTAAAGTGCATCATATTTTTTTGTTTAGGGATATAAATTATGTTAAAAATATTTATGGTAATTAAAAGCTATTTTAATAATTTAGCTGGTTACTCTCATGAAATAAATGATTAATAATTATAATCATCATAAATAATATACTAATAGTTAGTGTTCTACTAAAGAAAGTATGTAATTTTTGGTTCATTACTAAAGTATTTTAGGTATATGATCTCTAAACAACTTCATAGATCTCAACAATGGAAATGGACGATATGTGAATCATTTCTGACTTGCTATAATTACTGATTACTTACCAAAAATAGCTCGTGTCGCAACTTAGAAATACTACCACATTTAAAGCATACACATTATGGCGTATGAGCAAATCAAAAGTCCATTCAAAATATAAAATGTTATTTGTTCCGTCACGAATTATTTCATATGAAAATATCAATGCCCGACAATGCAGATAGACTGCACAAAGATACTTTTTCTTCTTGGAATGCCTAATAACGACAGTAACATAATCTGACTAATTTCACACCCTTATTGCACAAATTTAAATATCGGTGATCGTCACAATTGATCTAAATTCTCATTAATCGTCTTTATTTATTTATTTTATCACAAAATAACACTGAAAACATCAGCGGTGAATGAACGATCAATGATGATCAATGATCACAGTAGGGTTGGGACCAATAATCGTTGTTTGTTATATAAAGGTATCGATATAATTCATAAAATATTGATTAATACGATAATGTAGCTGCCAGGTTTGTCCATATTATTAAAAACGAGTAAAGACAGGTTAATGGTAACTAGCACAAACGTCCATTAATATCGACTTTAAGCTCCAATGAAAGTTCAAAATTTGATAATTTTTATCGGTGTGAAATTTAAATAAACGTTTTTGTGTTTTTGCGAATAAGGTAAGAATTTAATATTGGTAGGTTAATTGCTGCTATTAAATAACTGTAAAGTAGTTTTTTTTTCACTTAAATAGCAGCGTTAGTCGAAGCTTATAGCTATATGAGACGTGACTGTTATAAGGAAGGTAGGTAGGAAAATCGTGACACAAATGAGAAAAATAAAAATAAAATGTTTATCCTCATCACAAGGTTTAATAAAAAAAATATTTATTTCCTATAAAATTTTTCATTACACAACGAGACGTTACTTGAGTTACATATTCAATCAATCACTGGAGAAAAATATTTTGTTACATTATTTGTCGCAGCAGCAGCAGACATAACTTACCGTTTATAAAACTTGTGAAAAGTATGACTAGAGCACCAGTTACCCCTCAATAATATTTCTTCGTGTGGAAAATCATCCAGCTAGTTTTCACGCAACAACAGATCTAAAACTGCCTGGAATTGCTTTAATGTCTGCTTCCACTATAAGAGTTTCTCAAGCATGAAATTTTTTCTACCACGAGGGATTTGGCTGGATTAATTTTTAAAACAATCAAATCTTTCTTCTTTAAAATATTAATATATCTATATTAGTTAGTATAAATGTATAGATAAAGATTATGAATCAACGCCATAGAGCAACGACTTTACAAATAAAAATGTCAATGTTAGTCAGTTGTTAATGTCAAATTTCGCGCCAAAATGCGAGTTTGTTCACAAAAACCGAAATAACCTACAAAACATTTCAATACAAACTTTGCTTATATGGTTAGTGTTGTATTTTAAATATTATTTATCCATCAAAGATGTCGACACCATCAAAGCGTCCTTCATCTAGGGCATCTTCTGACGCTGCCACTCCATCACGAAGAACGCGTTCATCTCAACAAGTTGTGGTACCTGAGACTCCTCAAAGATCAACCGGTACACCGTCTAAAGGTATTGATAATATTAGAAGGCTGTTTATTTGTAGAGTTTCTAAACGAGTTTACAAACAATTGATCTATATTTCATAATTAATATCACAAGTGTTTCAACTATTAAAATAATATTTCAGATGGAACTCCTGGAACACCTAAAAGTCCCCGGCGGACTCCACGAACTCCCAGAGAGGTTCCTGGTACGTCACCAGCTCGACCTTTGCCATCAAGTCCCCTTGGTAAATATCAGTGTGAATCTTTGCATTGTGTTTTTCTCTATTCTAATAAAAACTCAAGCTTACATTTGATGTTTGGATTGAAATCATTATTATAGTGTACACTAATATCATAAATAAGGTTGTTTTTGTTTGTATATAATTTACTACTACTACTGGAACAATTTTAAAAATTTCTTCCATACTAATATTCTTTAGTCAGTAAACATAAGCTAAGCCAAAGTCAAAATAATCTTAATTCTTCTTAAAAGTACTTTTGAATTGTCCAAATTTTTTTTTCTACCACTCTAATGATGATACAACAATTTATTGATATGTGGGCTGTCCACTGTTGTTAAGAATCTAATGTTATTCCTAAATATACTGTGGTATCCACAAGTCCCATGTTCTTATCTTTAAATTCACATTTATGTCTACTTTTTAACATTAGGTAGTATGTATAAATTTTAGGCATTTTTTCCTTCATTAAAGAAAAGATTATTTACATTAAACCAATATACTACTTTACCGATTAGAATTGTTCACATCAACATTTAGAGGTAGCCCTCTTTTAATTTTAAATAAAAGTGAAGTGTCATCATCAAACAAAACTACTTCGTGATTATCCCTTATGAAATAAAGCAAGTCATTTATATAAATTAAAAACAAGAAAGGACCAAGTATTGAGCCCTGTTCTACAAGCTCCCTATTAACATTTTAATAAATACTAGAGGCCGCCAGCGGCCTCGTCCGCTTTTCAATTTTTTCTTCGTTCCCAATAGTTGCAGCGTGATGTTATATAGCTTAAAGCTTTCCTCAATAAATGGTCTATTCAACACAAAAATAATTTTTCAATTCGTACCAGTAGCTCCTGAAATTAGCGTGTTCAAACAAACAAACTCTTCAGCTTTATAATATTAGTAAAGATGAAATACTGGCCAGAACAATCCTTCTAGCATGATTCAGTATTCACGCGCGATGGATTATTATTAGCGTATTTCATGTATAACTTTGGTGTTTCTATACCGTTTTCTATGATTGTTTTTTATGGAATACTTAATACTGTTAACTTTTTTAATTAGGGATGACTGAGAGTGTTATAAACGTAAGATTAGACAATAGACAAATACAATCAGAAAGCTTCGAACTGCTAAGCTATCGGGAGTTACACGTGTTATTGTGAGTCAACCATAAAAGATAGACATATGCTGTTGTGGGATATTTTTTATATAATTTTAAGGAGAACATTTCCGTCATACATGATTTCTGGGTAGCTTTAAGCATTAATGTTGCACTCGCGACGGAAGCTTAAAAAATGGAGTAACTTCTCCCGTTTTCCCAACATTTCCCTTCACTGCTCTGCTCCTATTGAATGTAGCGTGATGAAAAGTATACTATAACTAGCTCAAGAGTATGAAAAATAATTGTACCAAGTTTCATTAAAATCCGTCGAGTAGTTTTTGTTTTTATAATGGTTATTTTAGACAGACAGACAAAATTTTACTGATTGCATTTTTGGCATCAGTATCGATCCCTAATCACCCCCTGATAGTTATTTTGGAAATATATTTCATGTACAGAATTGACCTCTCCACAGATTTATTATAAGTATAGATTATTTTTTGTGAACTTATGCAACAAGGTGAATCAATTTTCAGGCACAGATATAGACATGAGTTCTCCACTTAATTATGGCACACCTAGTTCCCTGAGTACTCCACGATCATTGATGCGTGGAGTAATGACTCCAGCAAGGCAAAGAGCTGACCTCAGAAGTAATCAGTTGGCACCTAATGTACCAGCTCCAACTCCTACTAGACGAGTGAGTTCATATTTATACTTGATATTCACATTACACTCTTGATATTAAACATTATTGATCTGGCTTATAAGCAATTTGTGTCATAATATTTTAACTTCATTGATTTGGTTCCTAGAATCTTAAAAATTTACTAGACCAAAAGAAGCAGCTTGCTCTGGGCAATAGTTATATTCACCACTCTTTATACTAATGATAAGGTATTGCAAACAAGATCCATCCATGGAACATTTTCATACTGCAACAATAACAACACAACACAATACTCAAATATTGTCAGCTCAGACGTTTATTTATTTATTTCAAATGGCACAATAACAGACATCAGACAAAAAAAAAACATTACATATAAAAATAAACTTAAATCTAAGGGCATGCCTGCGCCCAATTATAATTGTACTCAACATTTGGACAGTGTTATGCAATACTGTGTCAACCCACAAATTGACAAAAATCGAGATATTACTACCATCCGCTTCCTTAGGTAATAAACTACGTTTATCAAAAGAATGCTAAGTTATTCAAACCATTCTAATACTAAAAATTTAACAAAAACTGTTGACACGTTTACAATATCTTCCATAGGATAATGAACAATATTGCGTCATGTTCCTTAACACATAAACGTTTACTCAAAATCGCGGTCTGTGTTAAGAAAAATGAGTCATGAGGCTTGATACATTATTGTATAATTCGATTATTCAGTCTAGGCATGTTGCAAAAACTGTTGGAGGGTTAAAATAATAATCTAAAGGATAAATCATCGTTATAGGATCAAAAACTGTTAGAAAAAGAAGTTTGAAGCAGAATTTAAGTAAATACATTAAAGGTGAGTTAAGATTTTGCGTATTTTTCTGACTTTTATCAAACCGCTTTCGAGGTCAGATTCAAGTTTAAATTATGCAAAAATGTTTTAATTTAGTTATTAAACACATTTTTGAGTGTGTTTGTAAACGTCATTTATTAATGTTAATTGTGGAATATCATAATATATTGATAATATTTCGATTAAATGGATCAATAATATTAACAGTTTCACTTAACATGTTATTGCTATATTACATAATTGATGTTTATTCAAGCGGTCATAGATTGTAACAGACTTAATCGATTATTGCAAAATACATCAGTCTGTCACAATTATGACTTAGATTTCTTGAAAAGCGTTCAAATATTTTGACTCATTATAACAAAATTCCATTAATATTTATATACATTGATATATTTGATCGTTTGATGGATTAGTGGATTTTATTTTTTTGTAAAAATGAGTAAAATAAAATAGTAACGTTATTTCATGTATTACTTTTCTTTAAGTTCAAGAGGTCACAACCTCGTGGATCTCATAACACAAAAGGTAAATTTACCCAAGAGGACGTTTTTGGCAAATGAGAAAAAAAATTGAAGTTGTTCCAAATCATGATATTTCAAGACAATCCTTAGTGGATATGGATATCTTACTTCCAGTTATCGATATAACAGATCAGGACTTTCAACAGTCACTTGAGTATTGGACCAGGTGTACTGGATTATTATCAGACATTGACATTGATGCTCCAGTTATTGAGGTCTGCGACCAGGAAAAATCCCATATTCCAGAGCCTCATGATATTATCATAAATCCTGCGAATACAAGTAGCCAAACTTACCTTATCATTTCATACACAGAAGAACCAAGTACCTTGGATCATAACGTGGATGAATGTGATATAAGAACAACTGAACTATGCTCGAGCAACAATGCTTTTGAACACGTACGAACCGTAGAAAAAACAACATTAGTATTAGAGCCCACGACGTTAGAAGAGAATATTGAAAAACTGTCCTACAAGGAGTTCAATGCGCTGCTCTAGAAGATTCAAATTATTCAGAGGTAATGAGTAACGAAACGGAAAATGTAGCTAATCGACAGCAAGGGATACCCAGATGAGGATGAAAAAGAAAATATATAGACCAAAACAGAGATATTACAAAAAAATTAATAACAATGAAAACTATATTAGCGTGTCAGGAAAACTTGTTACCTCTAAACAATTTGAGTATTTTCTAGAAAGTACTTACTACGAATCGCGAGTTGATGTTGCTTTAAAAAATTTAAATCACAAGCTCCGATAAATGATCAAAGGAGTACGAAATCGGGAGGAAGAAATTCTATTTCGGAACAAAAAATTTATCAAATAAGACAATTAATTGAAGGTTTACCCAAGTACATATCGCATTATTGTAGAGTTGATAGGACTGCACGTTATTTAGCTCCAAATCTAAATTTTTCAACCGTTTGTGACCTATATAAGGGCAAGCATGAAAATCCTGTGGGTATTTCAAAGTTCAAGCAAATTTTTTTCAAAGAATTTTACCTGAGATTCAGAAAACCTCAGAAAGTTACATGCCTTTGTTGTGATCGCTTTAAAGCAAGTATATGCGGGAGACATTGCGGGAATTGAGCAGTTAAAAAATGAACATTAAGCCGACTCCGATTATGCTTATAAATTGAGAGACCAAATGAAAACTGATTTGGCTAGTACTAAAACTGAAGATTCACTGAAGGCTCTAACGTAATCGTTTTTGTATTTTTTCTAAGAATGTTATTTTTATTACAGCAACAGTAATGTAATTACCAGACGGAAGGACGGAAGGCCAAAAAAATCTGGCAAAACTATTTAATTTACGATAATGGAGTTGAAGGGTACCAAATATGATATCAAGTCAATATATATAAAAAAAGTGAAATATTTAAAAATGGTGTTTGATTTTTCTTGACATCTTGACACTATGATGCACTTTGCTTAACTTTAGTAAACCATTATTCAATTGGGTGTCAAGGTATATAAAATATTGCAGGTCACGTATAAATGCTTTGTTTCAAATTTAGCAATAATATGTCATGAGACTTAAATCTGTTTTTCATAAATTGTTATCGATTCGAAATTTTTCAATAACCAAATATTTGATTTATTTATTAATTATGTGTTATTTTACGATTTTCATCTTGATAATTGCCTCCTAGATTATCCAATCGTTTAAATATATTGACAAAGTTATTTATTTTTATAACACAAACTTTATTTAGACAAATATGTTGTTTTCATTTTTAAACACGATTTTCTCGAAATGGCGATCTTGTGGCTTGACATAATATTGCATAACAGCGTCCATTTGTACTGTCGACAACAATGTAAATGCAAAGATTTCATATTAAACTATGTATCTAAGTAACCTGCTTACAAACGATAAAAATAACCAGATATTACAATGCCCATAAACAGTTGAGGTAAATTAAAAATAAAAAAATAATAAAATAGAAAAATCATGCACATAACAAAAATATAATGTCAACTAAACATACGATATTTATTTGTTGGGTAACAATAAAGATACTAATACTTTTTTCATCACACGATTGGTATGTGACATGATATAATGAACAGCTTGCTAGCAGTTTGTCAAATGTATTAGTGTGTTTTCAAAAGTGTAATAGAATATTCGAGGTAATAATTGCAACAAGTTACATTTTTTTAAATATTTATATCTTTATATTTGTATTTACTGTAAAAAATTGTGTTATCACCCTATATCACATTAGAATATCATATTAGAATACAGTTAATCTACATTTCTTTATTTACCTTATCAAAAAAATCCACTATTTGCTGTGACAAAAACAAGAATTTTGAGGTTGATCTTTGTTTAACCTGTTCAAAGATCATCAAACAAAGATCAACCTGGCTACCCTGAATATCACATTGACTCAATGAGGAATTTATGTTACAGACCTTATCAATTTTCAGGGAGAGAATGGTGTAGAAGAGACACCATCTAGCGAGCCACAGTTGGTAGTGTGGGGTACGGACGTGGCAATAGCAGAATGCCGAGTAAAGTTCATCAAGTTCATACAGAGATTTGTCGAACCCACTGCTGTAACTAACGATCCTTTGTATGAACAGAAATTAGAAGAGGTAAGACAGCAATCATTAAGTGGTAAAATAATATAAACTTAAATAGTATATACATGTTCTACAGGCATTAACAACTGTAACAACTGACCGCCAATGTTAATTTAAATCCCTCAAGTCTGCTTGAATTTTCTTTTATTATGCATATTTTATATTAATTTGTCAATGAGTAATATGTATGAGTCAGCATATGAATTGATAATTGAAAAGATATCTGTTTGATTATTTCTAATATTGCAAAGGAAAGACTTAACTTCATTTCATAATCTAATAATCATTTTCCAACTGGACTTGTCTGGAAGAGTCTGCGTTTCTTGATGGTTTCTCTCAATGCAAAGTTTCCTGCTCTAGATTTACAAACTGATGGCATAGTTTTCGACTTTCACAACTGCTTGTCAAATTAGAAGAATCAACTATTAAATTTGATCCACATTGCTATAAGACCCAGAGCTCTAAGAGATATAATAAAGATATTCACATGTAATACTACATGTTGTTATATTCATAGTGATTTTATCACAACTTTCTTTTTTCAGATACACACATTAGAAGAACCGTTTTTAGATGTTGATTGTGAACATGTTAAAGTTTTTGATCCCAAATTACATAGGCAGCTTGTTTGTTATCCACAAGAGGTAAGTTATGATGACATTTTTTAAAAATAATCCTTATCCATTAATTTTGTATTCACAATGCTATATTGACGATTGAATAGAATTCCATACCAAGAATATTGATTTGGTGAAATTTTTTAGCATATTTCTTTAAGATAAATAACCCTTTTTCGTGTTTTTTATTACATACAGTACAATCCTAATTCTCTGAATCTCGATTATTCAGGCTCATTTATTTCAGATTTAATGACAACTTAAAAATTATTTGAAGACGTAACGAAACATGTTATTAAATGTTTATTCCCGTCTCCGACCGTAATTGCGATCCACCGATCACATTATTTTCGATAGCATTCAAATGATAGGTTGTCTTATCGACACAAATGTATACCATCGCATGCAAAAGCTTTTACACCTCTAGATGTTGCTTTGAAAGACATGACGAAACGAATCCCATTTAGTTGTTACAATTGAAACGCATCAGAGAAGTTATTTCCAATGAAAATTATAAGTTGCGTACTTATAACGTAGATAAATATATTTATAATTTTATTGAATTCTATATCATTTTTTTAAATGTATTAAGTAAGCGACGACTAATGGAATACCAATATCATAACAAAAATTGAATAAATTTAAACTTAAAGACTACTTTCTGGAACAATGTTCGTATTCATGACACAGCTTTCATCGTTCCTTATATATGTATGTATATATGTAGTGTATATTTTATGTATTATATATATCTATTTTTGTTATTTATTATATATATTTATTTTTCCAACCGTAATATAATTTAACTGCACTTCTATCACCCGCTTACATCTTACTCTCCCACGACTCCTAGGTTGGCTGGAAGAGATCTCTTCTAGAGATAAGCCCACCTTTGTAACAAATTTATTTACTTGTTTTATGTAAAATTTTAAGTGCAATAAAGAGTATAATAATAAATTTTTAATATTGTTTGATTTGAAATCGATATAATTGATCCGGCTAATCGGGATTCTACTGTACTGTGTTATCTATACATGTACATGTAAAACAAAGTCTTCCCGCTGTCTGTACATTGAGATCTTTTAAAATACTCAACAGATTTTTATGCAGTTCAGTGATTTAAGAGGAATGTTTATATGTATGCATATATTATATACACAATTAATTAAAATAACTGGATTTAAAGAATTCATTCCCCTATTCATAATAGGGGATCGGACAACTTTCGAGAAAGTGTTTTAAATGAATCTTTATGGATGATTATCGCTACAAAAAATATTTTTTTAATTAATATTTTTTTTAAATATTTTTTTTTTTAAAGAAGATTTACTTCATAATATCTTAAAACTATGTTTTAATTTGGATTATTTGAAAATACCGCGCAATCACTACCTTATGTCAAATCGGAACGCATGACGTCATTTGTGGGGTAAACAAAGGAGATTTTTCAGTAAACAACGTGTATCGACGTGAGTTGATGTGAATTTAAGAAATATGGATAGAAAAACATATCGCTGGTGTGTAGTACCTCAATGTGGAAATACATCTGTAATTACTCCAAACAAATTGTTCATTGATGTACCCCGAAAATCAGATATACGAAAAAAATGGTTAGACTTGGCAAGAAGAAACAGCGACGGAATGTCTGTAACGTCACCGATTTACTTTTGCGAAGATCATTTTGATGTTAGTATATAATAAATTGAAAAGCGTGTTAATTCATAATGTTTGTATACTAAAATGTTAAACTTCTATTTCTACCTTTTTTTAGTTGCCAAATGATATGGATAATTACATGAAATATCGTATAATGGGCGGTGTAAACAGAGTAATTATGAAACCTGGATGTCTTCCAAGGAAATTCGATTGTCAAACTGATAGAAAAAGACGGTGCCCATCAACTATAACCTCTCGCTCTGCTGCTATCAAAAGGCAAAGATTAGTTACAATACAGGAGGCTCTTGAAGAGAGCAACTTGAAGAGTAATCCTGAAGAAGAAGAAGAAACAAGTTTACCTCTTAGTAAGTATTTAAAATTGGTTTTATTTAGTTAATCCAGAAACTTTCATAGACCATAATTTTAATGATCTGTACTTTTGTTTTAGATATACAAACTGAAATTATAGCACAAGAACAACCAAATAAGCAAGATAAAGCTGTACAAGTTATTATGAAAAGTAAATACTTTAGAAGCAAATTTACGCAAACAGATTATAAATCTCAGAACATTGCAACATCGCCATCTAAAACTTGGACAACAACTGTTTCAACATCCCCTTTCAAAGTAGAAGAACATGTAAAGCTTGCCATACCAAGTGTTTCTAATGCAAATTTAAAATTAAGTATGGAGAAATCTGATAGTAATATGTCACTGTACAGTCAGTCAACATCCTCATATCAGCTGTCATCACCTTCAGTCCAATCATTACAGTTTAAGTTACTATCTGATAGTAGCAGCATGAATGAAGAAGAAGGAAAAATTGAAAAGGAAATAGAAGCAGAACATGCTTTGAATCATATGCGAGGAAAAATTATGGCCAAAGCCCGTTTATATATTGGGATAACTAATGATTGTTATTTTTTGGTTGATTTATTACATTCTAACACCAATATACCGACTGATCACATTTTGTTATGTTTAAAAAAAATTAGGATGAATACAACATTCACTGAACTGGGTGATCAATTCAAAATGTCTGCATCATATGCTGGCAAGATATTTAAAAAAAATGTTCCAATAATTGCAAACATTCTGAAACCTTTTATTGTAAATTTAGAAAAAAATAAAATTAAGAGATCCCTTCCAATTGCATTTAGGCATAGGTATAATAAAGTGAGCTGCATTATAGACTGCTTTGAAATTGAAATAGAGAGACCATCAAAATCTGTTCACCAAGCACTTACATGGTCCGAGTATAAAAAAGGAAATACATTAAAATATTTAGTTTCTAGTATTCCCAATGGCTTGATTAATTATATATCATCAGGGTATGGAGGCCGAACAAGTGACTCATTACTTGTAGAAACTTGTGGATTTCTAAACCAGCTAGAACCTGGGAGTTGGGTGTTAGCTGACCGTGGATTCAAACACATTGAACAACTATTAGTTAAAAGGAATTGTCACCTGTTGAGACCTCCTAGTGTGGCTCAAGGTGCAAAACTGAATAAACAAGAAGCTCTTAAGACTAAACAGATTGCAAGTTTGAGGATCCACATAGAAAGAGTCATCCGAAGAATCAGAGAGTTTTCAATGTTAAAACCCCATTCTGTTTTAAACTCTAAGTTAGTAGGTGTGCTAGATCATTGCACAATTATAGCATGTGCTCTTATTAACTTGCAGGGCAGAATTGTTTATTAATTACTTAAATATCAATAAATAAAACTATTTAATAATTATAATTAGCTTTATTTTGTGCTCTCATATAAAATAGGATATATATTTCTTTTCCAAAACATATGCATAGTTGAAATATAATGTTTAACCAAAGTTTCTTCATAATCAACTAACAATATATTTACATTATTTGTAACTTCAAAGTTCCAGTCGGCAACACAAAAATAACATTTTTTCAAATTTGTCAAATACATTTGCATTTGCATTTGGGCCATACATTTTGCAACAATTTTATTATTTTTAATATAATTTTCATAAGTTTTCTCAGTGGTAGGACATTTTATTTCAACACAGAATTTTTTGTCATATATTCCATCAGGCGATCCAGCTAAGAAAGGACTCTGTGAGGAAATGAATAACCCACATTCTTTTATTTTTCTCCCAAGAGTCTTTTCCACTATCATTCTGACTTTTGATTCCAGTTCCCGACCTCTCCTCATTGCTTTTGTGTCTGGAGTTTTGGCTCCCATGATCATGGCCACTAATGAGCCATCTGTAGTGTGGCATTTGCTTACTTCGTAAGCTTTTGAGGCTGTAATTCGCCCATATCTTAGTTCATGCCACAGTTTACATTTATACTGTGTACGAGTATTCTCTTCCACTATTTTTAAATTTTTATCTGAGAAATATTGTGATATTTTTTGCAAAAATGAATCACAATCCCCCTCATCACAATGTTCCATTATTAAATAATGAAGTGATAACTTATCACAATTATTAACAGTATTTTCATAAAAGTTTAATAACTCACAGCTAGTTATTTTTTGTTTCTTGCTTGTTGTAAAAACTGGGTGAGAAGATTTGGTTGAGTATTCTGTGTTGGATTTTGTTTGCTACCAGATAGATCTCTGGTAGTGATGTACTTAATATTTGTACCAACTTGAGCCAATTTGGACTTTTTCCAATAACACTCTATTTCAGTACTAGATGGCTCTTCACTTCTTCTGTGAACCCACATTAGGAAAGCTACTGCGTGTTTACAGCCTCCTGTTGATGCAGGGCAATCGTGACATTGAACACTTTTAATTTTTTCTTCTTTTTCGTCTATTATCATTGTCGCTGCATATGCTTTTGTACGAACTTTGTGTTCTGGGCAAACCTTACATTTAACTGTACAAATGCCAGAATTACGACAAAGTTGTACGTATCCAATGGCATCATCTCCGTAACTTTGTCTCGCTGATCTGAAAAGAGTCGAAAACAAATATTAACTCTAACAAAACTATGTACGTAAAATTTTCATTTGCAGTTTCACTTGTTAGGTTATTTTATTATCCTAATAATTTAACAGGTTTTAGGTAGACAAAGTCTCAATAGCTGTAATACGTACACTGATGTTTTCACATTTCTGAATTCGGCAGCACAAAAGTCCGGATTAGACGAAAAAAACATTCCAATCATTAAAATGTCCACTCTAGGAAGATTTCGGTTGTCGGCTTTCAAATAACCTGGTTCCAGGGTAAGAACTTAAGTCAATCCCTTGCGGCAGTTTTTATAATTATTTGTCTTCACTGTTTCAAAATTATTGAATCGTAATTCTAGTAAATAACTTAAAACACACACGGCACAGTATTGTTTACATTGACATTACCCACAAATGACGTCACGTGCTGTGATTGGTGTTCCCTTTGATGTATGATACAGACTACAATTATTGAAATAAATATAATTTTATTTCTTGACTTAAAAATATAAATACTAACTTTTTATCAATAATATTCTACAGATAGTCTTTAATTTAAGTAAACTTTTTAACCTAATACATAGATTTTTTTTATTTGATTGCTCTCCGATCCCCTATTGTATAAAATATGGATGATTAAAAATAGCGTATTTTAACATTGTAGTCGCCTATTATTAACATTATTGGCACCTGGAACATTACGATTTTCAACGTTTTTTTTTCTGTAATTCCATTGTTATATGTTTAAAGGTGGTTCCAGCTTTTGATGCGGCTGTCAATGAATTGTTCTTTGAGAAATATCCAGCTGCAGTATTGGAACATCAAATACAAGTGCGGCCCTTTAATGCTCCACGAAGGCACATGCGAGACTTGAATCCAGAAGGTAATTTTCAATCGTTTCAATGTTATTACTATAACAAAACATGAACTCTGTTTGAGTTACTACTTTTAATTGTCCTTTTTAGTTTAATAAGTCACACGAAGAAACAATTTGTAACTTTTTTTCTTTTTTATTATATATAAATAAATATTAAACAATATTAGTCAGATACCAAGATGAGATGCTAAAGCTCCCGTATAATGGTGTATTTGAGACAACGAATGTTCCACAACACCCAGACCCGAGACTATATAGAAAAGTTCATTTTCTACATTGTCCCGACCGGGAATCGAACTCAGAACCTCGAGAGATGTCAACAGCTTGGAACTGGCGTGCGAACCATTCGGCTGCGAAGGACGTCTTTGTTTCATTGAATATTGTCATTTTTATTAATTTCTGTTTGCATATTTTTCGTAAAAGGTGTACAAAATTTGTGTCTCGTATATTTATATTAATATTGTATAGTATACTAGTTAAGGTACTGTCTGGCTCTTAAATTCATCCTGTACATAAAGGATGAATTTTAGAGCCAGACAGTAAATTCATGCTGTAGGATAAAGTGAATAGCTCATACTACATTTATTTTTAGATATCGACCAACTGGTGAGCATATCGGGTATGGTGATCCGCACGTCGAGCATAGTGCCGGAGATGCGCGAGGCGTTCTTCAAGTGTGCGGTGTGCGGCGCTCCCGCTGTCGCTGAACTCGAGCGAGGCCGCGTGCCCGAGCCAGCACACTGTTCACACTGCTCCACCGCCCACTGCTTCCAGCTGCTGCACAACCGGTCACACTTCAGCGACAAACAGCTGGTCAAGCTGCAGGAGTCGCCAGGTCAGTAGACTGCTCACACTGCTCCACCGCCCACTGCATCCAGCTGCTGGGTTCGTTCGTTAGTTAGTTCGTTATGTTTTTGTTGCTTTCAATTGTTACTGTTAAGTTTTTTTGTTATTTGTTATTGTTGACTAAAATAGCAACTATTATTATGATTTTCATAATAAGTAAACCTAATTTCACTAAATATAAATTATGTCTTTATAATACATCTCATTTCATTATCACTTTGGCCTATGTTTTAAAAAAATGTCCATTCCGTTTGTTTTCGCGTTATTACAAAGTAAATGTATTTTTTTTTTTATTTTCCATATACCTCAATATTAACATATGTTAACATATAAATTGATCTTTCCCAGAAATTAACAAACTAGGAGTTATCAAACTATGTTAACAATATTTTGGAGACTATTCATAAATATTTCCATTGTCTTGCATTTTGTGCTATCTATACTTTCTATTTTAAAATTATGTCGGATGTTTATAAGACAAGATTCCAACGCGTTAGCCATTTAGGGGTCTTATAAGATGTTACTGTGTTTAGATGATATGCCGGCGGGCCGTACGCCCGCGACCGTGAGCGTGATGGCTCACGGCGCGCTAGTAGAGCGAGTGGGAGCGGGAGAGCGAGTATGCGTGACGGGTGTATATCGCGCCTCTCCTCACACCATCCATCCCGCTCGCGCCACGCTCAAGGCGTTGCACCGCACGCATATAGATGCGCTGCATTACAACAAGGTTACCACTACGGGCCTGCTTAACACAGAGGACGGGTAAGACAATAGAGTAGTTTCGGTAGTGAAAAATAAGTCACAAAATTACATATAGTTATAAAAATAGAGATTTTGATTTTCAAACCTTTAAATCGCACGATTATCTTAAAATTAAAAATCGTGATTTTTTTTTATCTGTCCGTCACGTGACTTGAAACACGTCCCGCCATTGTGTGATGACACTGTGACGATATCTGTCAGATTAGTAATAAAGAAATACCTATCAATTATAAATCAAATTCCTAGATGGCCCTGTTCGTTTAATTAATTATATCTTATTGTTTTGTGATTAGTTATATCTTATTGTTTTGTGATTAGTTATATCTTATTGTTTCGTAATCAATTGTTAGATAATATTACTCTTGTTATATTGACATCTTTGATCTTCTACTCTATGCATCTGTTTTGTGTACATATCATAGTGACGTCATGAATATGGCGGACATAGTTGTCGCGGGTATAATTTTTTTTTTTATTATTGCAGTTAGTACTCATACAAATTAACATGACACATAATTTTGCCTATTTTCGAAATGCTAATACTACTCTGAAGAAACACATTTTTCAGTGTTCTATGCCCAGATAATCTTCACTGATGTGATGTTAATAAAATTGTAAAAACAATTTGAAATTTTCTAAATTGTCACTTTAACATAGAAAAAAAATGTTCTTGCTATATTTTCAAGTATCAAGAAATGCTTAAGTTTTCTTTCTTTATTGGCATTGTTGAGAGTTACCCTCCAATCCGCATTGGGCCAGCGTGGAGGGTCATGGCCCATCCTCCTCAACCATCCATAAGGAGGGCCTGAGCCCCTGCAGTGGGGACGTAAATAGGGCTGATGATGATTGTTGAGAGTTGATTTATGAACCCACAAATTAATAATCTTATAATAATGGCTTGCAAATTAACCACTGTAAGGTTCTACTTTAGGTGCATATATTTATTAATACTTAAAATAAATACTGTAATAAAATACGTTATTATAAAATTCATAAGCAGACATTCCTAAAATTTACCTTATTTAACATAAAAAAATCTTAATTGTTACAGTAAAGAGCATAATTTTCCTCCAGAACGAGTGGAACTTTTTAAAGCTCTATCCTCACAATCGGATTGTTACGAACGGTTAGCACGTGCCATAGCTCCATCTATATATGAAAACCTTGACATCAAGAAGGGAGTTTTATTGCAGTTACTCGGAGGCACTAAAAAGACTTTTAACGCTGCAGGCAGAACACATTTTAGGTAAGCGATTGATGTTGCTGATTCATGAGTTGTCTTAATGGACCTCTGTAGAATTAATATTCCACAAAATTTTCCCCCTTTTTAATATTAAAGTCTCCGGTAGCGGTTTCACACGCGTGATTTACATGATTACTTGGTAATTTTACTATCCCTAGACAACCATTTAGTCTAGTAAAAAGTAACAAACCAGTATATTAATACTGCCAAATGTCATTAAAATTCAGTAGTTTTAGCATAAAGAACTAACAAACACCTATATTTATAAATTATCGTGTTTATAATATTAGTAAGATTTTTTATCTGTCTATGAAGATTTTTTATATTACATGATAAATATGAAAGAAGAAACAAAGACTTTAGATCTCCATTGTTACCGCAGACTTCATTTATTTGACCTTGATCAGATCATAAATAAAATTAGTAATGAAATAAAAAAGCTTAACGTACATATGGGTGCACGTCGGATTACCACAATGTCTTTCTGCAATGGATCTTTACCTCTATCTCAAGTTTAAGGTTTAAAATCGACTGAGAAAATTTTACAATTTTGCATAGTCTCACATGCTGTTGACTGTGCATTAAACCACATCGACCACGCTAATATAAATATAGGGGAAAGAAACTAATTTCACAATTGTTTGAAGAAACAAAGTGTCTGTGTAATTTTATTTCAGAAATTCGTTTCGTACCCACCCTCCTTCGGTTTTGCTTGATAATTTTAACCATTAAATGATAGGTCGGAAATAAACATCCTGCTATGCGGTGACCCTGGGACCAGTAAATCCCAGCTGTTACGTTGGGTTTACGACCTGGTGCCCCGCGCTCAGTACACATCAGGGAGGGGCTCCTCCGCTGTAGGACTCACCGCTTACGTCACAAAGGACCCCGACACCAGGCAACTGGTTCTACAGACGTAAGTAATAATCTAGCATTGTAGATTATAAAATAGAGAGTGCACACATTTTAATTATATTGTTATACTAGCTAACCGCCAGCGGCTTCGCCCGCGTGGTCCATAGGGAACTGTTTATTTCAATATCGATTCATTTAATGACACAGATAGAATTACAATTAGGCAATATTTTAATTCCCCATATAAACTTCCACTCCTATATGCATTCCCATATTTGCTATTTTTACCATAAAATATAACCTATGTTCACCGCATATGATTTTGCTTCCCGTTGGTGAAAGAATTCTTTAAATTGGTTTAAAAAACTATTTAAAATATCTTGGAGCCTATTCGATGCAAACTCTCTCGACTAGCTAACAGCCTAGACTGAATAAATGATTTTGATTTTGAAACAATCTAATCTTTCCTCTTATAATATTAGTATAGGTTTGATAAATTTGAATGAATACTACTAACTTCACATTGACATGGTTTTAATTTTTTTTATTTAAATTTGGTCTTTTGTGTTGTACAAACACAATACAATACAGTATAGTTTGCTAAAACAATCTAAGATGTTGAAAACTGTAAAGAGAATTTTAAAGTTTAATTTTAAGTAAACACTCTGACGGGTTTTAGTTATTTCCTACTAGTACTAGCTTTTAATAATAATAGTAGTTCATAGTATCAATTATCACATAATAAAATTTATTTTCTAGTGGCGCATTGGTACTTGCCGATAATGGTATATGCTGTATCGACGAGTTCGACAAAATGAATGATTCCACTCGCAGTGTACTTCACGAGGTATGAATTTAAATTATGTTTTAATATTCAAAAATTTTTTCATGTCATTTTATATAATGAATGAAAAAAAATCTGTCATAATTGTCTTAGAAGGGTCGGTGCATATTTGACGGAATTTATCTCGTGTTTCATTAGTCGCGGAATGTCAGAACTGACAAATAAGTTGAATTTAAAAATTGATATTAATTAAGTATTTTGAGTATGGATAAACCCAGCCCGTTTAAAATTTTATTTAAATTCCTAGCAATCAATAGTAGTCTTAATTTTTTTTTCTATATACATTCTATTTGTATTATCTTTAACAAAGTAATCAGATAGACGCCCACAAAGATTTTTTTATTGTTTTATCTATTACCCCAAAATTCAAAATTGATATGTTATTATTGTTAACTTTACGTGTATAGACCACAAACGTGACATTGGCGGAATCGTGTAAACGCAAATAGGCTATGAATTAAAAAAGAAGACGAAGTTTAAAGCGACATTACCGATACAAATTTTCGAATTAAGAACATTCATTAGAGCAACTATATCCGAAAGGACCGCGATGTTTTACTAAAGAAATTATTGCACCCGTGCATTTTTAATAAAATTAATAAACATGTGTTACGAAACCTGCTGCGTAGTTAATGGCAAAAACAGTAATCGATGCCGAGATGATAATCTCTGACAAATATTATATTAAATTCCTTAGAATTTGTTATGCCGTATTGATTATATTTTGCATATTGTAAATTTGCGTATGTTTTTTCGGACTGGTTTAGATTATTATTATATTTCCAAGAATAAAATAAATAAAAATTATTTCATTCAAAAAAAAATTATAATGCTGCTTGAAATCACAATAATAATAGTATAAGTTTTTTATTCTATATAATTAAACAATTAACATGTAACCACGACTAATAAATGAATATGAATGTATAATAAATAACTTACCTAATCATCTTTAAACTATTTCGCTAAAATTCATTGTTTACTTTTATTCTTGTTTATTGGTGGATAACTGTGCCATGTGCGAATGCTCGAAATCAAATTTTTATAATTAATTTGGTATATTGAAATAAAATTGCACAAAAAGTCTGCATTATTAACGACATTTCGTTCACAAATTGACTTAAATATATATAAAATGCGCTTTTCGCTTTTTGTTAATTTCTTTACTTATTTCACGTACGACAATAAATTTAGTGATTGTGGCATTTTAGACGGCAAATAAAAAATATCAACTTTATTATCGAAAAGAATCTAAGTCAATTAGAATATTTTATTAAAATTATTGTTTATTTACTTATTTTTCGTACTGAACGAAAGCCTTTTGACATATCAAAATCCGACATAATTGTAACCACTAGATGGCGCTGTCATCGCGCACCCAGCGAGTAGACGCTATATTTATTTTACAAGCTTTATAAATCGAATAGTTTTTGTATAGTAAGAACCAGTGGATTTATTAGAAGATGTTATGCCTGTCTATTTGCATAAATATAAACGTGGCATACTTTTAATTATAAAAACGCATAATTTTAACTACTTCTTCCAAATTGTTCTTAAAAAAAGGGTTATTTTTATCATTCTAATGAATGAAATGAAACACATTTATGAATATTTTGATTGGATTTGATTTAGAATACTACTAAATACTCCACTGAAAGAGTTGACTCCTGTAATGATAATGTATCGTATAGGTAATCACTTTTATATTCACGATTGGGAATTAATTGGGAATTTTGCTGGCAATAATCTGGAAACATTGCTGGGAATTTTGCCGGTAACTTTGGCAGCTATCAGGGAATTTTCTTTATTATGACATTTTAATGCCTACTTTTGTTTCTAGTGCGTAGATAATCATAAAGTAATTTATATTAACATAAATATTTTAAAAATGTAGAAAATTTTTCCAATATTCTCAGTTAATTTCTACCTTGGGATTGCTACCGACAATGTTCCCAGCAAAATTTCCAGTCCTTGGCTATATACCCGGGCACGGTACATAACTAGTCTTGCATACATTAAAATTTTATATATTAAAAATTATAAAGAGGAGAGATTTGTTTGCAACGATAGGGTCCGAAACTACTGACCCAATTTTTTAAATTCTTTCACCTATGGGAAGTTATGTCATATGCAATGAACATAGACTATATTTCAGTTATATTTATAGGGAATTAAAACGTTACTATTTAACTTTTACCTACGCAATTTGTTAAGCTATCCATAAGGTAATAATTTTTAGATGTACTTACGTTGTATAGGTGATGGAACAGCAGACCTTGTCTATTGCAAAGGCTGGTATCATATGTCAACTGAACGCTCGCACTTCGATTTTGGCCGCCGCAAATCCTGCTGAATCACAGTGGAATAAGAACAAGACTATTGTTGAGAACGTACAGTTACCGCACACACTTATGTCCAGGTATTTGTTTTTAATATTTAATTATGTTAATCTTATAGAATAATGTTTAAAAGTCTAGTTCCAGGAGCTCAAGATGAAAGATTTTATTTTAGGTCAATATTAATATATTTTATTGTAAATGCAAAATTGATTAAATATAATAATAGATTCTGTTTATTTTAAGGTTCGACTTAATATTTCTCATACTCGATCCGCAAGATGAGGTGTTCGATCGTCGTCTGGCCTCGCATCTCGTGTCCTTGTATTTCAAGGACCCCACTGATTCGCAGGACGATCAGGATATTGTAGTAAGTAATAAGCTACTAAAGCGCCATCTGTTTATTACTAATGACGATTTTTACCTCCCCTTTTAAGTAAGAGAAAATAGGATTTGTCAGATTTCATACTTGATATATTAATTGTATCCATAGGATTAAAATATGTTACATAGTTTAGGTTTATTTAGGCTCATCATGTAAGAATCGAAGAAAAGTTAATACACGTTTGGTGTTTAAATTTTTATTTTTCGAAAACAGTTATTGTTGTTTGTTTTTTTTTGGTCTTTTTTTACTATATCTTCTTGTTTTATCGTTACGAGATTTTAATTTGTTGTTTTCGTCTTCTCACGTAAGAACTATCAATATTCCCTGTCTCTTAATCGTAAGAAAAAACAAGACATTGCAGAACCCGACGTTTTATGATGATGTAGACCAGGGGGATTCCCAAATTATTTTGGTCAAAAGATTTTGCTAAAATTATTTGATACCTCAAATAGACTAACGGGCACAGTATCTGGATAGGTTCAAATAAAACTTACACTTTTTGCAGGAATGATTTTTTTGCCCATGTTGAGCCCAAAAATTAGTTTTTGTCTGTCCTCCCAATCAAAATAAACAAATTGTTTGGTTATATTTTAGGATATGTCTCTGATGCGTGACTACATCGCATTCGCTAAGGAACATGTACATCCAGTACTTAGTGAAACCGCCCAGCAAAGATTAATTGACGCATATGTCGATATGAGGTAATTATTTTATGTATCATTAGCTTTTTTTTATTCTTTAATTCTTAAAAGGGTTTTTGCGGAAATGCCACCTCCTTAGATACAAGTAAGCTTTACAAGCTTATTCTACGTCTAATATATGATTAAATCATTCTGTACAACAATAGTAGCAACCAATGTTCAGTATCATTAGCTTTTGCTTTATGTTTCGTCATATAAGATTCAAAGCGAATTTTTGATTTTTCGAAAAAAGTAGGAAAAGTTTTTTCAGGGTCTGAAGTCGTTTTGCCATGAAAGCGGAACAATAAAAAGAAACTCCTTAGACGCATGATTCCATATGGAGCAGACAGCAAGAAGGCGTGGTCATAAAATGGACGATAAAATTAGACCATCCACTAAACCGGGTATCGTGACTGTTTTTCAAAATAAAAACATTTTTGTTCTTCTTATTGACGTTGTTTTATATTTTATATTATTTTATATAAATCAGTCAACTATTTATTCATCAATACAAATAAATAAAAATTAAAAAGAATCCATTATAAAAATAGAAGAGTGTTTGGACTTATTTATCAGCAAGTGACACCAACATTAACAAAATTCATAGAGCCCAAAACTACGTTAATAAACATATTTCACCAACAAGTATATTAGAATATTAAAACGATTAAGGAATAAATTGCCGAGATCCTCGAGAAATACTTATAAAAATCTGTCTGTCATCAAAATACGCAAGCTTCATAGACGCAAAATACCGGATATGGGAAACATGGTAGGCATGGAAATGAGAGCAAGAAAAGAACTTTCATGGCAAAACGATTTCAGACCAGGGAAAAAACATTTCCTATTTTTTTCGAAAATTCATAAATTCGCTTTGAATCTGACCTGACGACGTATGAAGCAAAAGCTAATGATACTGAACACATCATTATTTCTATTTTGCTTTCTCTTTACTTTTTATTGCACAAAAAAAACGAAACCAATATAACAATATTAGGTAAAGTATTTTTTTATTACAGTAATAAGTTCTTTACATTTTGTATAGTTCGTCTTTATGTCGATAACGGCTGTTAAAATTCTTACCAAATTTTAGTGCCAAGTGACCAAATAAGCCATCTAATCGGGCGGTCAGTACTTCATTAAATAGCATTCTATAAGTTTGGCTTGCTGGAGTAATAATTGATTTTATTGTAATTTAGACGCGTGGGAAGCGGTCGCGGACAGATATCAGCATACCCGAGACAGTTGGAATCACTCATAAGACTTGCGGAAGCTCACGCGAGGATGAGACTCAGCCCCACTGTTCAACTGTTAGACGTGGATGAGGCAGCCAGGTAACAAAATTAAATGGCTAGAAACAACCGTCATATCAGTGGCTAAAAAATCTTTAATTATAGCACTGTCGGTATCAAATTAAAAGTCTCGATGAGTACATTCCAAAAGTATAACTTGTATTCATCATTAACTGACTGTTTTGTTGAACATTTGTAATCAAAGAGGTCTTCAACTGCCTTGAAAATAGACTTGTGTCGCACAAGAAGAAATACAGGTTTCTGTTATATGTTCGGAAAATGACATTTTATCTTATAAATAGTTAAGAAAATGAACTAAATGACACTAATTTGGAAAATATAATGCTTTGAAAACTTGAAAAAAGTTGGGAATATACAAAAATTTCATAAAATAAATATGGCAGTAAATTGGTTAAATAAAACGTAGCTACTTTCATTAAAAGAGCTTTAAACATAAACACGCAAACAGTAAAGATTGTCCAAACGCCCATACTTTTTTCTCCATTATTTCTCAGATATTTATGGACTATTTATTTATAGAATAAAAATATTGTCAACTAGCCTATTGTGTATAACTAGATTTTATTATTATCTTAAAAGAAAATCATTATTTAAAAATATTAATATAGCCAAATTTACATGTACTATGGACACATAAAATGTGTCTAAGTACGAAAAAGTGGAGCTCTACCAAATCTAAGCTACCTGTCTATATTGCCAACGAAAGTCCAAAAGTAACCCAGGCGCGCATTAGTTATGTCAGACGATAAGAATACCATTGACATTATTATTTATAGATCGCAATACAGGAATCGCTATTTATCAGTGAACTGTCACTTTAACATTGACGTAAGATAACATTATCGCGAAGTAAACCGCCTTTAATATTGTTTCTTTACGTGTAAAGATCACAAACGTGACATTGGCGGAATTGTGTAAATGGAAATAGGCCATGAATTAAAAAAAGAAAAAGTATACCACCGGTAGTGGATTATTGCAATAGTCTTGGAATCTGTTTAAATTTTATTTCGATAAAAACCGATTGATTAATCAAATTCCTATTGCGTTGTTATAATTATTGTGATGCCTATCCCTTAGACTACACCGCGAGGCTCTCAAGCAATCTGCAACGGATCCGGCGTCCGGCCGCATCGACGTAGGGATCCTCACCACAGGGCTGGGCGCGGCCGCGAGACGACGCCGCGCCGACCTGGTGGCAGCCCTGCGCGAACACATACAACCGCTGCCGAAACCGCACACACTCACACACTCTAGACTACTGCAGGAGATCAATGCGCGCGCACAACTGGTCAGTATAACCACCTGTATTCTAGAAAGAGTAGATAAGCACTTGTTACTTTTTCGCTACTACAGAGCGCATTTTCATCAATGTACAGGCAACCCACTCAAACTGCCGAAAGGAATATTTTAACAAATATTTTAAGCTTTCGATAAAGATGAAAATTTGTTCTAATTATTATATTTGATTAATGTTAAAATGAACGGAAATGACCATCTTTGGGCCATTCTAGTGAGGTGCTTTTTAAAATATTTCCTCATTATCGGTAATAGTATATTAAATATAGTATCATATTAATATTGCGATATTAATGTGAAAGTTTCTTTGTTTGGATGTTTGTCGGTCAGTCACGCCGAAACTATTGAACGAATTTTGATGAAATTTGGTATACAGATACATAATAGGATACTTTTTATCCCACTTAACATTTCCCTAGGATCCACGCGGGCGAAACCGCTGGCGAAAGTTAATATTTAATACTACTAGAAAAAAAAATGTATTTATTTTCGTTTACTGTCTACACCCATAATACATGCAAGAGGTGCACATCCCTTCTAGCGGCAGCGATGTCCTGTAGCTTTAATGTAAATTTTATATAATCGTAGTTGGTCGAAATAAATAATTATTATTAGTTATAATAATATTTTTTTATTTATAAAACTCGACTAATATAGCTCAACTATGATAAAATGATTTATTTAAATTAAGTGTTTAATGTGTATTTTATAAATCCATTTGTGTTTTTACCGGTTCATAAGTAATAATATTGTACTATTTTATATAAATTTCATGGCCAGGTCGTAGAATTGAACACTACATAATGCGGCAGACTATTTCATAAAATGGTCGTATTTCATAAAACTGCCACCTAATACCGTCATATTGTTTAAACTTCAACATTTAATGATATGGCAATTCACGATTAGCCATATCATTTAGGTAAAGTGTCCACAAGAGAAATCTAATAATTTGCTGTAATTCTATGTTTATACGTACGCGTTACGTTTAATGGTCTGAAAATAAAACGAAATTTAATAACATTCTGACGTGGTCAAAAAATTTTTACCATTTCATGTAATACCACCATTTTATGAATTGGTCACGACATATATACATATACATAGATAAAGTTTCTTCCCGCTGTCTGTACGCTGAGATCTTCTAAAACAATAAAACATCAGTTTTAAAGAAAAAGGATTAAAATCATAATACAGGACTATAATAAAGCTAGTCGATAAATAAACAATGATTTCCTTCCCAGATGGTGACAAGAGAACAGCTGGATGAAGCTCTACGCGATCTACAAGACGAAGGGAAAGTAGTCGTAGTGAGCCACACGCACGTACGTGTATGCTGATACAGCCTTATTTATGAAAATTTTAATTCCGTTAAGCTTTAATTATAAGATTCTGATTTTGTAATGTCCAATAAAGGTGATATAAGTGTTGACCGATTTTTATTTTATATTAAGCAACGATTATGCATAAGCGATTATAAGTCCCACGAATTGCTAATGTGCAAGAACCTTCATTTTAATTAACTACCACGTAACAATAGAAAGTACAGATAGAAAAAAAATGTAATAGATAAATAATTAATACTCAAAATAGGGCTTTAATATAGTTATCCCTTTCCCCTCCTTTCCTCCTTAACCATCCATAAGGAAGGCCTGAGCACCTGCAGTGGGGACGTAAAAGGGCTGATGATAATGATGATAGTTATCATCCCTTAGTTTGTCAATGTTTCCATGAATTTTGAAAATGGCCGGTTTATTTGGGTATCATCATCGCCAGGTTATCAATGTTCCCACTGATTGGGATCAGGCCTTTCCTATGGATGGAATCGAATGAGGAGAATGGACCACGACCCACCATGCGGGCACAGTGAGGATTGGTGTGTGTTATCAACGGCAAATGTGGCTGCGACCAACGGCTTAACGTGCTATCCGAAGCACGGTGGGTCTCGAGATACTAAAATTTTGGTCACCCATCCTATGACTAGCCATTGCGAAAGTTGTTTAACAGCCATATCGCAGACCGAGCGGGTGTATCCTTAAAGTTAAATATTTACTTAGTAATCATTTGGAGGGGGAATTTAACTTAGTTTCTCCATTTTTCAGTAAAAATCTTCAACAAAAAATATTACAAATATATGGGGACAAAATAAACTCTATATAAACAGATATAATTATTAAATACGTTTAAATAAAACAAATCTATTTAATAAATTATTTTTATTTACATATCAATTCATTCCGTGTATCAAAATCCAAATGTTAAAACACAACAACAACTCTAATAGATATTATTTCGTACTGCGAACAAACATTTCATTTTGTAGTAAGAAACTACCATTTATTTAATACACAATGTTTTGCGAGTGCCTTTGACCAACACCTGTTTTTAATACTGTTTTTAATAAAACATATTTCATATTAAAAATAACTAAATTATATCTCGGCAAAGTATGTTCCAATATTTCGCTCAATAAACGAGTTCAGCAGACAAGTCGTCCATTATATGTGGAGTATGGGCCAAGTCGATCAAAATACCTGAGCCATTACCGCAGAATTATCATAATTAGACATTACCAATATTAAAAAAAAAACTTTAATATATTATAAACCTTTATATATTCAATACTAGGTTCAAAATCTATAATGGAAAATAACATTTTTACACATATTACTACTGTAAAACGAGTTCATGCGAACGTTTATGTCGTTTTTTTTTATCTAGAAGACGGGCATTTCTTTCAGGCACTTGAGGCTTAAAATACCATAAGCCTCTCTTAATGTACAAAAACGAGATGCATTGACCTATCTGTTATCGTAGATATTTTATAATCTATCTAATGTGTTGTTATGATGGGTACAATTTTTAGCAACAATTATCAGTAAAAAATACTTTTGAGCTTTGTTTACAATAAATACACGATAATGGGTCGACGTAAAACATTAAAATTCTATTGGCACCACCCGTTTTATAAAGTCGAGACTAAAATCAAGACGTGTGCGTTTGATATATATTCTAAGGAGCATTTTAAAAATTAATTTATTGACTTATTATAATTTATTATGGAGTTCGTAACTCCAATTGGACACTATCAATAATTATGGAATTGTAAAATGAATAACGGTGGGAAAAGTAGGATAGTTAAATTTAAGTAAAAATCTTATTGAAGTACATTTTTATAGTCACATGTAAATATATGAAACAATGATTATTCAACTTTATAATTAAGACAATAAGGCACACCTGAGATATAAAAAATCTATAATATAGGGGAGTCAAAGATAGTCGACTGAAGAGGTAATTAGCCCAAAATCTCGTCGCTTAGCTAAAAAATTAGCCAAAAGCAGTACGAGTGTTGCGTTACCCAAACCCAACTTTGTTACACTTTGTACTCCTATCAGCCATTTTAGTGCTTAGTGTAAGTTTTATCTGTCAGTTAGAATGTCGAATTCCCAAAATACCCAATTTCCGAAATGTTCAATTCCTAAAATGTTAAATTTCCAAAAGGACATTTTGGTAACTAGACATTGCGGGAACTGAACACTTTTTGGGAATTGAACGTTCTAAACTTTCCGTTAGCCTGAAAACACAGCTGTAATCGTGATGAAGCAACTCTTTTACCGTTGAAGAGTTATTGGCAGTTAATTTCAGTCGCCGAACAGATAGAATTTTGTACAATTATCTCTTTCGTTCGCAAACACATTGCTCGATAAATAGCCATATGTTTTGCACAGATGCATCGAATTAATTTCGTCATAGTAAAGTAAACCTAAAAAAGTTTACGATATCTCTGAGTAGGCACAAAGTTCAACATAGGAAATTCTCTCCGTGTCCTATAATCGACTAAATTCTCCCGGTACATAAAAACTGCAAACATTATCACATTATACTGGAAGTTTATCAAAATAAAATAAAAACCCATTAACAATATTAAAAATTTATAAAATACTAAGATATAAAATCAGTAAATCATATATAATATTGTCAAATTATTGAGTCTATAATATAATCTTTACAAATTTTAGTTTAACAATGTTTATACATTGGTATGACACATTTTATGACGTATAAATGAAAAAAATTGATTTTAGTTTATTTCTTGTACGCATCTCTAATAGCATATATACTATGGAGTAAAAATAATAAGTGAATACACTTTAAATAAAATGTGTCACTCTGGCATGTCCCAAGCGAGTGTATGGCAACTCGGGCTCGCTACCACCCCATTTTCAAGCCACAAACCCCTCACAGTCTTATACGAATGTTTATAGTGATGGTTTATCAGTCAATTATCACAATGATAAGACAACATAGAGTAACAATTATATACATTACCCATTTCTTATAAATAATTAACTATTTAAAATTACATCCGGCTTCAAAGTCAGCCTAACAGGTACTTCGAAAGCTTATGTTTGTATATATTTCGATACACTAATTAACCGAGTCAATTTGTATCAAATCTGATAAAATCATAGAAATAGATGAACATCACATGAAAAAAATAAGGATTTGGTAACATTATAAGGATGGACTTTTGTTATATTATCCTGAATGTTAAGAAAGGGTTTTTTTACATTATCCTTAATTATAAGGACTTGTTTACTAAATAAACACATAATTTAACAAGTATGATTCGTCTATATTGCGCCAAAACAAAGCATCACATAAATGAATATACACATTCAAAAGATAAAGGCTACATAATCATTATAATAAAATATGTGAATAAAATAACTGCAAGAAGTTCGTTTTTCATAAACAACAAATGCTTTTAATGCATTATATTCTATTTCATGCAAAAAAAAAAAAAAAAAAATTTCCGCGCCAAAAAATGCTAACGTTACCTTACTATGTTCTGCCGTCTGATTGTATGTGTGTGTATTTAATTGTAGTGTTGTATTTAAATTAAAATATTGTTTTCATTGACTATGATAGCAATGCTGTTGCACAATACATGTTTTTTTTTAATTATGTGAAACTGTGTTTACAATTCTGTAAATAACTATTATAACAAAACTAAAACATTTACAATTACAGTAATAGGATATCCATATATTACCCTCCAATCCGCATTGGGCCAGCGTGGAGGGTCATGGCCCATCCGCCTTAACCATCCCATAAGGAAGGCCTGAGCCCCTGCAGTGGGACGTAAAATGACTGGTGATGATAATAAGATATATAATTATATTAATTTGATTGCGTGTGACTACATTTTTTTTATAAAACAAACCCAAATTAAAACAAAAAAAAACTATGCCGAAAATTGAAATGGGACCACAACGGAAGCACCAGTTTTCAAATAAAAAAAAGGAATCAATAGGATTGATTGTCATTTCAGATCTGGACCAATTTTAAATGGGACCAAACGGCAAGCACTAGCTTTCAAATAAAAAAATCATCGAAATCGGTCCCCTATTTTTTGAAGTAGGTTAAAAAAAATTGTGCAACAGAACTGGCACCGTTGCTTGCTCTAACAATAGGTTTAGCAACGATTGATTTTTGTCAATCACTGTCAAAAGATAAAGTTCTTGAAGAATGAAATATAATTCAAAAACGGTACCTACATCTAAGACGGCAGAATTTTTTTTTCTATGTTCCAATTTATTGAATAATTTCTAATTGTCATCAAGATACGGATGTAGAGTTAGTAGTCACTGTGTCTCCAGCAGTGCTATCAGCTGGAGGGGAACTTAATTTCTGTTCTTCCGTGACTGAAACTAGTGATTCGCGGGGATCGTATTTGTCGGCGCGTGCGCAAGCTTCCAATACGAACTTGTTGAACAAATCCGCTTTGTCTAGGTACAAGTGGTGACCGGCGCCGTTGATTACCTAAATAAATAAATAATATTTAACGACATCACATACATTGCTCGGATCCTAAAGTAGCGAAAGCATTTGCATTGTTGAAATTTGAAACAACGAAGGTAAAAACAACGAAATTTGAAACAATTTAAAACAACACCCAAATCCGAGACAAAAGTTCTTTTTGTATATTTACCCGACCGGGAATCGAACCCGGAACCTCAAAGATTAACTTTTTTAACGATGAACAACTCAGGTGAACTAATGGTAATAGAGATGATGGGTAGAAAAAAAACGGAACTCGACGTCATGTGACATTTTAACTCTATATGTCGCCGTAATTCAATGTTTACAAAAAATAAGTGTTTATTATTTTTCAAAAATGTATTTGACGGACAAACAGAATAATGTAGTCATTTCCCTATAAAATCCCAGTAGTTCAACCGTTAAAAGAATTAATACATAGGTGAACCACTAAGGAATAAAAGTCTTATTAACTCAACCGGTTGAATGAATAGAGATGACATCTTGGAACAGACAAACGAACCACTTAGGGTCCTTGACTAAAAAAATATAGTTTGTTGATCATGGCTTAGATGGAGGGGTATTTATTCAGCTGCCAACAAATCTATCAGCACCGAAAGAAACGAATTCTCTACCCTTTCCATGTGAATAACAGATGAAATTATTCTGCTCCATCAGCTCATATTGGTGTAAGGAGGTTCAATTATGTTATCATGCAAACGACAGGCATAATATGATAATTTTTGTTTTTCTGTCTGTTAAGTAGATTATTGAATAATATTAAACACCTGTTTTTTGCTTAATCAATATACGGTGATATATTGAGTTGAAATATCGCATGACGTCACACCTACATAGTTGTGGATTAATGAACCTTACTCCTCAACTTTAAAGCCTATCATCAAATCCATTTCTGATAAAACTGAAGGAAAAAAATGCGTATCTAATATTTTTCTATTACCCGACTGAAGGACTAAATTTATTCTTTCACCCAGGCATCATGCCTATTCTAAAATCACTTCGACGCTGTCGATGAGGTTAGACGTGCGTTTAGCATTAAGATTAGCAAATAAATGAAAAATCGTAATTGGCACTTTGGCCCCGACGGATACCGGGTTTTCTGCCCATAGGGTATACAGGTTTTACTAAGTTGGACGGTATCGCTTACGACTGTCATACTTAGGATGGGTGCGGGGTTTACGAGCCCTGGTTTAAGGCTTAAGGTTGCATTTCCCCCGCGTTAATAAAAAAGGTGGGACTTACGTGAACATAGGTTGTAGAGGAGGGTCGCTGTTCTGTGAGCACCTGTGCGGGACTGTTGTGGACCCACGAGCGGGCCCCGTACAGTACCGTCACCGGCACAGCCTTATCTAACTTGTCCAATCTATTCACCATTGGATTTTTCGCCCAAGCGTAACTGTCCATCAAAGTGTGGAAGGCGCTTTCACCGCTGCAAATAAAAATATAGTCGTAACCAGTGATGTTGGAGCTTCGTATACGTATCCGAATCTAATAACGGATATAAGTAATAAAAGTGTATAGGTAACAAACGCAATGGCGATGCGGAAGTTAAGAAACTTTCGCAAGGGCCGGTCATAAGATGGGTGACTAAACATTTAAGATCCCTAGCTTCTCTGTACACAGGAGGCACGTTAAGCCATTGATATTCCCGTTCCGTTTCCAGAAGTGGGCACATTAACAGACTGAAATCATCTACACTAATATTGATAAAGAATAAACATTTCATTATTTGTTATTTGCTTATAACTATTACACCGACCTAAAGGAAACTACATCATGCTCAGGATACAAAGACTATAATTTACGCGGGCAAATTCGCTGGAAAATAACTAGTGATTTATAAAATAGACAAAAACCATTCAACTGACCTGGGCGTCTGCGAGTTGCACTGGTATATATATTCAGGTATAACAGTTTCCGCGTCCGGCACATAGTTGGCGTATTTCCTGGGTAAGTCTGGTCTAGTCTTGCCCACTAGCCACTTGCCAGCCGGGCCGGCCGCTCGCACAGCCCATAGAGGATTCAAAGTCCTTAATACCACAGCTGCAGCGCGAACCCATAACGATAGATTGTACATCTCCGCTACATTAGCAGGTTTCTCAGGGAAACCCCATGGATCGGCCAGGATCAAATGTCGTACCCTTATTTGTAAAAAAAAAAATAGAGAAAAAAATTATCAAAAGCATAAAAACAGAAAAAAGTGCGAGAGGGACTCGGGCACGAAAGATTCTATACCGTTATCTATAAAAAAGCAAAAAAGCAAATAATAATTACTTTTGTTGTATGAGAGACCCTTGAAATACTTATATTATTCTGTTTTTAGTGTTGTAACGCCAATCGTAATACATTATCTGTGAAAATTTCAACTTTCTAACTATCACGGTTAATTTGATGTCTGGTGACAGGCGGACGGACAACAGGGTCCCATTTTATCATTAAGGTACGGTTCCCTAGAAAAAGACGACCGTCTTGGCATTTTACGTTAGACGGCGTCAATAAAAATTTCAAAAATTTTGAATTTACGAAGTTTTATCATTATTAAGAAAGCAATATTGCCCTCTTCAATTAAAACCATTATCTTATATTTTTATTCACTATTTATTTTAAGTTCAATTACAAAGAATTTTTATCTATATAAGTAGTCATTTTTAATGAACAACTTTTAAATTTATATATTGTGTAATTATTATCATATCTGATAACAGATTTTATGCCATAAGTAGGAAACTTTCTTGACTTCATCGGGTTCTATTTTCTTTCGCGCCGTATCAATTTTGTTTTTTTAAACCGTCCATTTAGGTATCAACCAATCCCTATGAATTCTTACATCGACATATCAATGTTAAGCAATTAGTTATTCATTACTATAGCATACCTTTCTGGATACTTCATGGCGTATGATGTGGCAATGTAACCGCCGAGACTGTGCCCCAACAGAATAATTTGATTTAAGTTCACTTCTCGACGCCACTCCTCCACAGATTCAACCCACTGCGTTTCGACTTTAGCGGCATCGCTCGAGAACTTAGGACGAGAGCTACGACCAAATCCTGGTGATAAAATTTAGGCAATTTAATAAATACACATACAAAATCACTGTAACAAATGAATACGTTATTAATCTCATATTTTCAGAGGGAAAAGATCAGGCCCGGATCTATGATTTTTAACCAAGCAGATTATTCGTATGGCGTCCTTCTTCAACTCCGCCCCTCCCACTTGTCCCCTCCCCCAGGATCGGGGCCTGAAAGAGATCGACTACTACTAGCAGCATTAATCATCGGTTTCACTACGGGCAACGCTACTGTCAGTTAACTGCCACTGTCACTTTAACGTTTCATCAGTTTCGCCCCATTATACTTCCGGGTTGTCATTCCCAGAAAAATAAGGTAAACCTTTATGCGCGCACACTCACGTATAGCATGCACAAAGCTTTGTAATCATTGGGAAGGCACTGGCTTCTAAAATAATTATATGACTTGTATTTGTACAAAATAAATAAATTACTATTTATTATTACCTAGAAGATCGATGGCGTACACCGGCCTAGTTGCGGCAAACGCGTCGAGGTTCGGACACCAGAGGGCGACACCTGCACCCATTCCGTGCAACATGACGAGCGGCGTCTTCGGCGACTCATCGTTCAAAGATATAGTCCATATTTTATCGCACTGCCCCACAACGGATCCGATGTCCACGTAGAATCGTTTGTATGATGTCTTCAGGCCTAAAACGAAGGGTACATTTTTCTTTCTGCAGTACACTCAGCAGTTTCGATAGGGAACCGTCCACGCATGCGACCGTCTAACACTCTAGCCATAGAATACAACATCATAACGATATTATTGCTATATTCATTTCATTTTAGTACTTTGACAGGTCTTTTCGTGGATAAATTTGGGATAAACGACTAAGTCGGTTAACACAGCTGTCAAATCCATAATTTAAAGCAACGTCCGGAATTCTAAAACCCACAACTTAATACAAGATTCCAATTGCTGTCATTAATATTTTTTTATTTGATATATTTACATTTGATTTGATAAATTTGGGATAAATGGCTATCGGTCAGTTGCACAAACGTCCATTAAGGTTTAATGGCGACTTTAAGCTCTAATGAATGTTCTGAATTTGAATAGGTAATGTGGCATTAAACTAATGATAATTTTAATAGCCGTTTGTATGATGATTGGTAACACTACTATCAATCCGTAATCATCATTATCGTTCGTTCGTCGTTACTGAAGTATATGTTAAAGTAATAAAATGAAACGAAATATCGGCATAACCGCGGCTAGAGAATTAGACTGTCACACCCCTGTTCTTTGGAACGAAACGAATGTAAAAATAATATGAAAAAACATTTAGAATTCTACAAGTATAAAATACAGATTACAAACTGTATAGCATTTAAATAAAGTCATCTAAACGAATTAATAAAGACACTGTTTCCAGTTTAGAAGTGATAGTATGACTCATATATCTAAAGTGGTACTTAAATTTTGCAACTCACGATGATATGACATTATATCCTTCGAAAAAAAGACGGTCTGATATGTATTTTTAGGTATAATTAAGAACATGATAAGCAAATATTCAAGGATACCAAAAACGTTTATACAAGGTCATCAGATTTATAAAAACAACGAAATATTTAATAAAGCATTATTACCAAAATTTGTGTTTATTCAATTATAATAATAATGAAGTTTCTTTATTTTTCTCCACAATATGGTTCAATACAAAAAAGGAAGAATTGTATACAATGATATTGATGAGAGATAAAATATTATGAAATAAGTAGAAATATCCACTGATAATCTATCTATCTTTCAAAGATCGGTATACTATTTAGTATAATATATGAATTATCTATCTTCTTATCTATCTACTTATATCCTAGTAAACAACTTTAGACTTGTGTGCCAGCAGCTGATTTGGTAAATAATTCTATTTGCAACGTATTTACATTATACAGGAATATTTTTTTTCCAGTGCAAAAATTTTTTTTGGTGGTTCAGTATCAGTAATAGAACACTTTTCCATAATTAGTTAAAAATTTTTTTTTAAATATTTTTATCCCTATCGAAACGGTAGATTATGGACACATTTTTTAAAATAAAACTTCAATGAAAACGTCTTCTCTTGCGTATACCACCGTGCATCCCCGCCGCACCCGGTAGCCCCCCGTAACAGCCCCCACCGCCCCGCTGGGACCGAGCGACGCGCTCGGCAGTGAGACTCATACGCACGCGCCGATGTGACGTGCCCTCGCGTTCCCGCGCACGCGACGCGCCCGCCGTCGTGAGTTTTACGAGATGGTACGAGTTTATCTTCTGAGTGGTGAAAACCTACATAAGCGCAATTCGGAGAAAGTATGCGACGAAGAGCATACCTCGTATGCGGGCCTTTGGGATCCGTAACCCCGCGGTCCCTAATGCTTCGAACCATTTTAACAGACGAAGTCCCAGAGTCAGTACCCACGATGCGGCATGTCTCTGGTGTGAGCCAGCCTGCGGTATTGAAGCTGCTAAAAACAGCCGGACTCCATCCGTACCACTTTCAGTCGGTTCAACAGTTCCATGACCTAGACCCAGTACCACGTTGAGCCTTATGTGAGTGGCTTCTACATCACCGCGATGCAAACATCTTGTGGACGGATGAGGCATTGTTCACACGTGAGGGACTCTTTCTTATGGGAAGAAGTCAAACGCCGAGATGTTGAGGAGGCACAAAGTCTAGAAGACCTAACAATAAAAAATAATAACGCTTTCAGTGAAGTGAAAAGTGACACAAGTGTTTTAAACAAATTAAATGACAATTTAATGAAATGTGCACGTTTATGTCTGGACAGACGTGGGCTTCATTTTGAACAAATATTAAAATACATGGTAAGTGATTAGTTAGGTATTTGTTTTGATTCAACATTATTGTAAATACGTAGTTGATTCTAATTTTTTTAAATACGCCTTAACGCAGAAGTACCTATGTAACTTCGGCATATTTTTTTCTAGGTAACGAATTTGTTTCTCTTTTATTTTTTTGCATTGTGATGGCCTTAACCATAAAAGTATGAAGGGAAAATTGGAATTACTCTTAGAAATCACCTCAGATCATGGCATAAAATCTAGTTCGAATCTAACAAAATGAGCGGCCAGTGACCCGTGTAGATAGGTACCTACGAGTACATGCCTACGGCCGGCGTCGAGCAAGCGCTCAGCTGACGCACGGCGCGCGGTGTCCATACATTAAGTTTTAAAATCTCGATCTTTGATAAGCGATAACTTTATTTTTTAGTATTAGAACATATCAAAATAAAAAATACGTGTTTGTTTAAATTACTTTAAGTTTATTTTCACAAAATCTTCGCAGTGGTTTTAAATTATTCCTGTATAGAATAATCTTATACTTTCCATATTTATGCAGAAATAAATAAATTAAAAATAAAAATATGTAATGTTAAACTATATACTAACTATTGTATCGTCTTTAGTACTATTACATGCAAGCATTAAAGGACATATTTGAATCCAAAGGCGCATAATGGGCCATTCAATACCAAACAAAGGCGTACTAAAGTTGATATGCAAAGATAAAAACATATTTATCGATAATTTTGCATCCCGGAAATAGTATCGCAAGATAAGGAGTTCAACGCATTTTACGATAATCGTCCGTAAAAAAAACTGAACAATGGACTAGATACCATTATGCAATTATCTCTTTTCAGAATATGTAGAAAAAAGGTGTCATAATTTTTTGGGAATGTATATTCAACATTTTTTAAACTTATAAAGGAATTTGTCCTGACTAATCGGCGTGCATAACCAATTGAAGTTGGACCCATTACCTTTAGTTAGACTTATTTTGTAGACAATCACTAAGGAAGTACCTTTGGATATTATAACAATTCTTTATGTTAGTGACATCAATTTTTATTTTTGGGCCACTGATTTAAGTTTCCACAATTTCAGCAATTGTGGATACTTAATTCCTAGCAGATGAAATAGGGGTAGAAAGTTTTTATAAAGTAAACTTTATTTTTGAATAGAATAGAATAGATCTTTATTTGCGTCAAACACGGTATTTATGGTTTTACAAAAATAGGCAGTTCAACATGTTTCGCTATTCTTATTAGCATGCAAGTATATTGATTAAAAACTAGTACAGCAGAATTTTAGTAATCCAGCACCAAATAATGAACACAAATACATTGTATTCCTTTAATTTTTATATACAATCAAGTAATCAGCATATTCCAATAATAAGATACTCTCAAGTTTTTAATAGAACCCATGAACTTGAGATTCCGAAAATACCTGTTTCAGTACTAGTGGAAATTCTGCTATAAAGAAGATGAAAAGAAAGTTTGTACATTAGAAAAGAATGTTATCCATATTAACGCAGCTGATGGTGCATAGCTATTATGATATAAAATACTCACATGATAATATCTTCTTCTCAATGTTGCGTAACATTGCATCTGATTGACGAGTCCAACTGAACCAGCTTCCACTCCAGCTGAAATACACAAATAATGTAGTTTGATAATTTAAAGAAAAGTATGCGCAATTTATGTGTTCACATTTCATATAGCAACAAAAAGACAAGCAAAAATATTATCCATTAAAAATTGATAGGTAGGGAGCTGCAAATTAAAGCAAGTTGAAGCAATATTACTTTATGATGGATAAAATTGAAAATAGCATAAAATGTAACCAAGTGTGCAACAAAAGTTTGGGAACAAACATTGAAGTTCAACAAAAGAAAAGAGTCAAGAGAATCAAATTTTTTTCTTTCTTACAGCAAACTGTTAATGTATTTCCCTTCAAAATGGTTTTTTTTTTAATTCTAGGGTGAAAACATAAAACAACAGTGCCTATTATTTAAATTTGGTGTATCTTTACCAAGCCCATTGATGAGACAATTTGACCTATTTGACACAGACACAACTGAGATTCTTACATAAAGCTTGCTGAACCATAATTTTACTCATGAATATGCTCAATTAAAGCCCCATACAAACACATTTCAAATTATGATACATTTAAAATATATCTTTTTATAAATTGGCATTCGCAATAAATAAAAAAATGAAAAGAAATCAAAGGTGAAAGCCAGTGTAAATAAGAGCAAATCATACCTCCAAATTATGGCCTTATATATACTTCCAATCCATGACAGGCTTACTATACTGAAATTCAGAAATATTTAACAATTAGAGAATCTTATTCTTTGTACTTTCACCTTTGGTTGATTGAATTTTTTACCTTTGCTTAGATGTGAAAATATTTCTTGTTTTATTTTAAATAGTCAGTGTAATATTTAATGTTTCTCACACAAGAATCTCACACGTTAGATTTAAGGAGCATGTTAATAACAAAAATAATATATTACATTTTATAATAAACACAATAAATAATTGTTATAAAATTTTCTGATGGAATTTCAAGTCACCATAAAATGTCAAATCATCTAAAAATTATTGATTGTTACATACAATCCTAAGTTAATAAATCATGTCATAAGAGTAGCTTAACAAAAACATGAATTGAGTATAATAAAATCTCTGGACTCTTACTTACATTAAAAATATATGTGGCATTTATGAAGTAAATGAAAATTATAATATGGCGTGGTAAAACTTTTTTTAGAAAATTGATCTGTGAATATTACCTTAAAATGCTGGTAATGAGATGGTAAATGAACGGTAAGACAAGCTTACTCCAAATGTAATATGACACATGAAATCTTGCCATAACAGAGAGATTTTTTCCTAAAAAAGTGAAATACATCTACTTTTAAGCTTTCTTCCATCACAATAAATATGTAATAGATAAAATCACTACTGTATTATGAAGTAATTGCGCAATAATTTATAAATAATTAATAAAATGTTACCTGGATTTTGTAGTTTTTTCTGTTTCTTTATCCATTTGGCCACTAGCAAACTAATTATTATGTACCATACCCACGGTCACAGTAATAATATGATTTTATTACAATGCGTATTTCGAATAATTCTTTGCACCTAACAGTCCGCAGCAAGAAAATTAGACGATACTGATCAAAATACTAAAATGTTGACTTGACTGCGACAGACAATATTATCAATGACACTGACACTCACTGACACTACTGACAGTGTTTGACCCTATATATATTTTCTTCTTCTTCTTCTTTTTTAATTCATGGCCTTGTGGTCTCTACACGTTTAGAAACAATAATAAAATATGTAAAATTTTGAATTTAAATAAAATAAAAAAAAATAGCTCTGAGCGCGTCTATCATATATATGATACTTAAGGGTGACACCACTATATTATTTTTCTCTTTGCGTGACACTACCAGTATGAGCAAGTATGAGGACGAATGAAAAAAAAGAAAATTAGTTCCCGAAATCAGTCTAGATGTCGCTACGGTACGTTCTTGATTTCTCCATGACAACCTTTCCGGTTTTAATTCATGTTTAAATATTTTAATTTTTAAAATTCCATAAACAACTCGTATTATTAATAGTAGTATCGGTATATTATATTGTGCTTTTTCGTATTTGTATTGATATCAAAGTTTCGAACTTTTCAAATTTCAGTTTTATAATATGTTAGTTAAAAGGAATGGAAATGACTGTCTTTGATCCATTCGTTTCCTGCAAAAATTAACTTTTGCTAGAGTCGCCATCTAGTGGAGGTGCTTTTTTTTAGTACTTTCGTTTTTTTTTAATACTTCCTTATTACGTATTATCTATGGGTGACACTGACAGACAGTAGGTAAGTATAATTGCATGTGCCAAGAGATCTTAGTCAATACAGCCTGGGTCTTTTGTATTTAATCTTACGATTAACCTTAGACCAGTGTTTCCCAAACATTTTTCTACCTAATTATTGGGAGCACTATTAAATTGTAATTTCCATATTGCTCCTTCGTGACCTGCTTAATACTTTTAAACCCAACCTTAAACGTTTTAGTATATTATTATTACTATTAGTCTTTATGAAGTCTGGAACATTTTTCTCAAGCCAAATTTGGGTAGTGACCGCCTTATGACCCGGGATATTTTTTTATCGCAAAAATGGAGTTTTGTGACTCTTTGGTAGGAGACACCCCATCAAACCTTGACGTATGCTGGATGATGGCTTCTTTAGATCATTTTGTTTGTTGTAGTGTTCATCGATTGTAAAAATTTTTTCATCGGTAAAGAGAATTTTTCTTTGTTTTCGTCCGCTTTTCAAAATAACAGCTGTTTTGATCTTTCGACTCTCTTTTGTTTTAGTGCCTGATTTAAGGTATGTCCTGTGTATCTCCGGGGCGTTGTGAATTCTGGCCTTGACTGCATTAACGGCCTGATTTGTTTGAATAGACCGCGGTCGGCCAGATCTCTCACGGTCATCAACACACATGGTTTCAGTGTACTTTTGGATGGTACGATACACAAACATTCCGCTAATCCCTAGTTTTTTCAATGTATCAAAATTGTCGGCTGGCTCCTTACCTACTTTGTACAGTGCAATTACTGCAATCCTATTCTCTTTAATGCCCCACTCCACTCTCAAAACAAAATAATTTCTAAACAAAACACATACAATAATCCCGGGAAAGAAGTCTATTTTTTTATCGTAGAAGCTAATATTCGAAATTCAAATTAATGTTTTTTTTTTAATGTATATAAACTGCCAGTGACAAAATTTATGGTTAGACTAGGTATAATGCTTCTAGAACGACGCGCGCACTGATGACCAGGGGCGCTTATGCACTACACTGAATTTTCAGGTCCGGCGGTCCGATTTTTTCCAGTCCGATATGCCAGGCCAAATATAGGTAATGCTAGCCTGTGCACTGTCAGAAATTTTACCGTCTGGTATTTAACTTTTGTCTATTCCGGGCCGGTATTTTCAGGTCTATGATGGCGGCAATGAAAAACGTGTTTATACTTGTGCACTGCTGAGTCCCCGCGATCCGGAAAATTCATGAGCCTGCGGCTTGGGACAAAATAATGGATTTATGAAAAATCGATATTTATTTCGACGACATTGTTAATTTTCGATATACTGATAATCGATATTTATTGTAGATTATAAAGTGCGATATTTTGTATGATAAGTTAATATAGTTGGTAAATATCGTTGCATATGCTTTGGCAAACTCGACATAGTTCTAATTTGATCATCGTATGGTTCTAGTATCCATACTTTGCTAGATTCTAGAATCGTATTAAAAGTATCAATAACTTAAGGTAAGACAAATAAGTGTTGTTACGCTTAGACGCCTAAACAATTGAACCCATCTTAATGGAAAATAATATAGAAATAGACTTAACCTTAAGAAATGACATAGGCTACATTTTATCACGAAAAATAGGTGGAAATAGGGGATGAAAATTTGAAAGGAAAGTTGTCATTATCAAAATTTGTTTTTAGACAATTGATAAGATAAGTATAAATAAATATTTGATTACAGAAGTATTCTAAAAGAAAATCAATTCTGCTCAAAGAAACTATACCACACGTAAAAAATAAAAGCTAGATATATATATTGTATATAATGCAGCCAACTGATCTTACAATGATTAAAGTTAAATCATGACATTTAAAACTTACTTAAAAAAAGATGGCCGATTTAAATGCCATCGTAAAGTTCATTTAACATATTGATTCTCCGCTTACACGCCACTTATTTTGCTTTATGTCTCTAATAGCTTAAAGTTGTTTTAACAAAACTTCGAAGAAAATTTATGAAAATCTGATAATAGTAAAAAACATGCTTTCGTCCTGCCTCAATTTATAATGATTTATGTAAAGTGACCCTGTCAAGTTATTATTTAGGTACCTTTCACTTATAAGGGGATAAACCCAATATTTTTTTCTGTCTTCTAAGTCTTAGCACGTAGAGTAATAAAGCAAGCAATTACTGACGTTCCAAAAATCTCATCGTACCCATCGTATCTCATCGTAGCTACCCTAAACTGCGCCGCTCACGGCAGACTGAAAACGGACAAGTGCACAAACTACTCATCCGGGTTTTTCGAGTCATTCCGGACCAGAAAAAATCGGACCGTTGGACCTGAAAATTCAATGTAGTGCATTAGCGCCCTATCCGTCTCCTGTAACCGTGCCAGAGAATCCTTGCGGTGACGCGCGTACTTAACTTGACAATTAAGTGATCTTCCTTCGAGGAAGTTAGACTGTCCAAGGGGTGTATGTGTGGGACTCTTCTCCGTGAACCCACCCGACAGCGAGCTGCCTAGTGAGTCTCACGGAGGCCTACCCACGAAAACATGTCTTCTCTCCTTAGGCATGAGACTGGGAAATCTTCGAGTCGAGTCATCAGGAATACCTTATTTAACCTAACGGCACGAAAGTCATACCGATTTCACACTGCCTCCGCAAATAGCATCCCCTCGAATTCTTTATTGGAATAATGTTTTATACATATACATATTCAATACTACGTTAATGAAAATATGAACATTGGAAACATCATCAGAAAGACCTATCTTTTTAAAAATAGCAATGATAGGGTAGTGAGTGTGATTTAAAATTAAAATAATAATAGAAAGGCGCTATACCTAACTAAACAGGTTTTCAAATTTTTGTTAATATTATCGATAACGTTACACCACCTTTGACAAATGGTTAACACTAACTTTCCGAAAATTGTTTTTGTGTGTTCTTAACCTAACTTGTTTGTGGCGTTACCATAGCGACGATAAGTATACAATTCACGTTTAATATTGACATTGTTTTATAAAACAACAGAATTAATAAAATGCAAGTGTCGTCCATTCAGCCTGTTTTTAAACTAGAGTTAAATCACAAAGTTATACCGAGGATTGTGACCATCGCTAAATATGATGGCACACACCCATGCTTGACTGCATCTGCTGGATATGATAAAGTAACTACAGAATTAAGCAAACATTATTGTATATTTACGATTAAACGTTAATATTATGCGATTTAAAACAATACATAATTAAAGTTAATCAATTGAATGATATAACACCTCCAGTGCAGGAAAAAATTAAAGTACTTAGTTTCTCACAGAATTTTTCAAGCAGTTATCTCGCCCTGCTCCAAGGAGGGTATAGTGAAACCCATAAAATTATAAAACAGCCAGTTACACGAACATCCATAGAAATTATCATTAGTTTAATGTCAAATTTAAAACATTCATTAGAGCTATAAATCGTCATTAAAGGACGTTTCTGCAACTGACCGATAGTCTCTCACTCTTCTAACTGGTGGCGTAACATCCAGTTGCACAAACACCCAAAGGTTTAATTTGTTTTTTCATGTTATATCTGTCGCAGCCGCCCGCATGACACACGATCCACGACTGTGTATATGCTGTTACAATATCGTTACATATGTGAGATAATCAAAAACAGATTCATAGAGTTAGCAAACCAAATGACGACATTAAGCACTAATGAATTCTCTAAATTTGTTTTGGATCAGTAATAATTTTGAATAAAGAAAGGCTTCAATGTATCAATGTTTCATAGAGAGAAGTCTTCTTATGACAACTTCCGTGCTTGGCAAGGTGGTTAGCACTCCGGTTTCAAGTTATTTTTGATGTTCCGGGTTCGATTTTCAGTCAGGTTAATACAGAAAATAGAGTTTTCTATAGTCTGGGTCTCGTATCTGGGTGTCGTTAAACCATCATTGTTTTAGATTTTTTTAATACAAAGTGAATTTATCTAATGTTATTTATTTATACCTTAGAAGTATTTGTGAGTTAAGTTAAACAGTAACTTTAGCGTAGGGGAAGGAAATCCAGCTTTTTTTTTTCAAACAAAAAATTGTAGACGAAAGTTTAAAAATATTTTTGATGATATTTAAATATGTATGCTGAAGTAAAGCGGTGATTGTTAAAGATATTTGAAAAAAATCAAGCCGATTAGAATAAGCTTAAGTACTAGACATAAAGTGCGCAGCCAACGCGATAAAATTACATTCTTATCCCATGAGTCGAGCTGTAAATCTGTAAATATAATGACGACGTAAATCTATACTAATATTATAAAGAGTAGCTCGGTGGCGTAGTGGATAAGCGCCGCGGCCCGCGATCATTGTCGTTAAGCAACTTTCGCAAGGGTCGGTCACGGGATGGGTGACCAAAAATTATCATCTCGAGCTTCTCCGTGCTTCGGGAGGCACGTTAAGCCGTTGGTCCCGTCTGCATTTGCAGTCGTTAATACCCTCCAATCAGCATTGGGCCAGCGTGGAGGGTCATGGCCCATCCTCCTTAACCATCCATAAGGAAGGCCTGAGCCCCTGCAGTGGTGACGTAAATGGGCTGATGATTATAAAGCTGAAGATTTTGTTTGTTTGTTTGAACGCCCTAATCTCAGGAACTACTGAGAAAATTGAAAAATTATTTTTGTGTTGAATAGATCATTTATCGAGGAAGGCTTTAGGCTATAATAACATCACGCTGCAACTATTAGAAGCGAAAAAATAATGGAAAACGCGGACAAAGTCGCCGGCGGCCACTAGTCTGTAAATATAATGAATCTGAACGACGCAGATCACTCTAATAGTGATAGATTGCGACCTACGCAATATTTATATATTGCGTAGGTCGCAATCTATCACTATTCAGACAATCAAGTTTCACGGTGTTTCTAACATTAGCGAGAAATTGATGCATTTTAGGTTTTATTTTCTATCTCGGATAAGTTAATTACAATTTAGGAATTTGAGGATCTGCCACTTACAGGATGATTAATGATTGCACTCGATTCTCACCATTCATTGAAATACTTATCACGTGAGTATTTGTTAAGAAGTCCTTTTTAATAACAACATTTTACATCAGATTATCATCCATCATCCTCACGGTGGTGTGGTTAGCGGGCGGGCCCAGCGTTCACAGGCTCATGGCGAGATTTCCGAGCTAAGTCTCAGTCAAGCTGTCGTTGCCCTAGCAGCAGGTTCTCTTAGACCAGACACTAACCGAGATATGTTGCTTATTGGATCACCGTCGCAAATACTGGGTATATATTTGGTCACTCTTATTAGAATTGTGAATTTCGAAAACTTAATCTATTGTTTAGCGATGCAGATATTTATTTTTAATACGGACAATTTTTTTGAAATATTTAAATGCATCAGGTTGAATACAGATCCGAACTCCAAATATATTTGGTAAGAATAAAATAATTAAATAGTAGCAAAGAAGATAATGAACTTTTTTACGTGCAAATCGTATTAAAGTTATACAGCTAGAAACATATGCTTAATATCAGTTGTTTAAACGTAAATAGATGTTTTTGGTAGATTTTTTATAAAAATTTCATAGCTTCTAACTATTTAACTGACAAAATGACTTTTTGAAAGCTTAATTTTTCATTTTCAGCTTATGATGTCCATGATAACACCGATCTGTTCTTCAAAGACGCTCCCGACGGAGTAAATGTAATAGCTGTGGGTACTTTCGGAAAACACAGTGAGCCGTTGGCTTTTGTTGGCGGTAATAGTTCCGTACAAGGTCTCAGCTGGCAAGGGACTGAATTGTTCTGGAACGTTGTAAGCGGGAAAGTATGCGCCATGATCACTTTTGATTTTGATAAGGACGGTGAAAATGAGGTAAAGTTTCGTTAAGATTCCATTTTGCGTTAATATTATAGTTACATAAAGTCTATTCTGTTAAACCAAAAACGAAAGTTCGTCTATTTTCAAAATGCTAATGAAACCCATTATTATAATCCAACGGAGGTACCTGACACTGCCTTTGATACACGGATCATCTTATAACAAACTTAAGAGTACGATACAAAATTTTCCTACTTGTTGTTCGTACCTATTCAAAGTATTTTTGTGGTAAATAATAATTTGATTCGATAATTTGATAGCTTCTGGTCGGCTCTGATGATTTTTATATAAGAGTGTTGAAAAACAATCAATTCATAATGGAAATAGCGGAAACTGGCCCGATCGTATGCTTGTCTCCAGTTACGGAAGTCAGATTCTCATATGGGCTCGCTAATGGCACTATCGGGATTTATGAAGAAGGAATTCGACTCTGGAGAGTAAAGGTTTGTCTCTAAAAAAGTGTGTTGAAAGATTTTAGTCAGTGATTGTATAATTAAGAGGTTTTTCTTAATCGGTCAGTCGAAGCAAAATGCCTTGGCTCTGCAATGGTCAGGTGAAATGCTAGCTTGCTGCTGGAATAATGGTCGCGTGGATTGGCGCGATGGTGCTACAGGAAGGGTGCTCCGTCGTGTGCAGATGCGTTCTGGTGCGGCAGCCATGTTACTGGCAGATTATAGGTCTATGGGTATTCCCGATTTGGTCTGCGTCTCGGATAAGGGCGAAGGTCTGTTAAAACTATTTTTTTTAAATAATAATAGTAAATTAGGATCAGTTTTGAACTTAACCGCCACCTCTTAAGAATTAAAATTGATCGAAGGCTTCTGTTGTATTTTAGACACTTAAAGTGTTGTCAACTGTTTTATACTTAACGATCAATATATTAAAGTTTAAAATTGAGTGGAGAATTTCAATTTTGACGTGCTGTTGATAACTATGTATATGTAAAATGTATGATTGAAGTGATATGTTTTATTTCATTAGTTTTGGGTTACCCTCCCTACCAAGAAAATACAAGTTTTAATACGACAACAAACAAATTACCAACAGAAGAGGATAGGCTTGCTATCACAGAATTGTTTAACAAAAAGCAAGCGCTGATGATAGAATTACAACATTACGAATCGAACGCTGCAAGTGGTAATATTAACATGGATATTCTGGAACGACCACCAACCGCAATGCCAACAAATACAAAACTCCAAGTGGCAGTCAATGCTTCACTCGAAAATGTAAGCTACTCGTATAATTCAATGTTGGATTAAGGGGGCGTAAAGCCAGTAGGGACAGAGGATGACGAAATACGAAAAATAAGTTTTTAATTTATTATTCGAAAACTATGTGATTATTATAAAAGCGGTGCATAATTCCCTCAGCTATAAAATAAGTCATATATTGTGAGCTTATTTAAACGTTTTTAGAGTTCCGTAGTAAACAAGGAACCCTTATAGTTTCGCCATGTCCGTCTATCCGTCCGCGTTTTAGCTCAAAAACACAAGTATACGTTAATTACGCCTACAAAGTGATAAAGTAAAATTTCAATAAAAGAATATTTTGCGTACCTACATATAAAATGGGGTGATATTTTTTTTTTCGTTTTCCCCATAGTGTGGAACTTCACTGGATAGGTCTCTCAAGAACATTGGTAGTGTGGGAAAGCCGTTTTTCGATTTAGTAGACTGTTTGTGGCTTATTAAGCTTTAAAGAGCCAACTTTAGTCAGAATAAATGACCCTCCCCCTCTACCAACTAAACGGTTGTTGGTAAAAATTCAAACGTTACGGTAGTAGTATCGATATATGTATAACGAACTCAAAAGGAAAACTATCACACTTAAGTTGGCTTAATTAGTTTACGAGTAATAGTCGACCAATTGTATTTAACTCGAAAATTTCGAACAACTTCATGCAAAACAACAAACTTGATTTTTTTACTTATTTTAATTGTACGGAACTCTTTGTGCGCGTGTCGATTTTTTCTTTATACAAAGCTAGTAGGAAATTAGTGATTTTGGGTGTACACGATATATTTATCAATCACAACTCAGCGACATACACCTATGTGGCAGTTCGCCAATATCCTCGACTGTAAGTAGTTTTTAATTTCTTTTCTATCAAGCTAAATAGACTATTTATTTTATAGTGTTGTTTAAATCTCACAATATCCACTAATAACGACACCATAGTCCGAGCAGCATTGGTTCTCGCTGAAGGAATATTCGAGACTGGTGAAACATTAGCGCGGCACCCGGCTCCTGCAAATCTCCGTTCTATCCTTCAGATAACTCTGAAGCCACCAAGAGATGTACCAGTTGATGTTCATATTAAGGTACAGTTTTCAATCAGTAACGCTGGGCATGGTGAATAGTGAGTCTTGTTTCAATAACATTAAGGTGTAAAATATAATGATATACAGTCAGCGGGTGTCAAGCGCGTGGATATTGGTTTATCTCGTCATACTTTGCGTTTTGCGTTTTGCGCACCTGCGCATCAATGTATCAAATACATCAATGAGGTTCATTAATTGTATCTTACTTTAAACTGTAAAGGTAATTCAGAATTAAATCTTTTATTAGGGTTCCGTACCCAAAGGGAAAAATGGGACCACATTACTAAGACTCTGCTGTCTGTCACTTTGCCTGTCACCAGGCTCTATCTCATGAACCGTGATAGGTACGAGGGTCAAACTGAAAGTTCTTAGAAAATCAAAAACTGATTACATTAGCCAGTTATTAGTTTTATTATATCTTTTCAAAATATTGTCCATTCACGTCAATACACCGCTGCATGCGATGGAACCACTGGGAAAAGCACTTTGCCCACTCGTCCTTAGGGGTCTCTTCAATGGCATCGCGATACGCAGCCACCGCTTCTTCAGCATTCATAAACCGCTTTCCTTTAAGTTTTTCTTTAATTTTTGGAAATAAATAAAAATCACAAGGCGCGAGGTCGGGGCTATACGGCGGGTGACCGAGTAATTCAACGTTTGATGTCGCCAAATAGTCGATCGTTCGCTTGGCGGTGTGCGACGAGGCGTTGTCGTGGTGAAGGAGGATCCTACTGCGAGGTCGTTTCTCTCGAACTTTTTCCAAGACAAGTGGCAAACAATTGGTAGAGTACCATTCTGCAGAAACTGTTTTTTGATCCTCTAACACAATTGTTGCAAAATGACCTATCCTTCCAAAGAACGAGGCCACCATTTTTTTTCCCGCACTTCGATCTCTCTTCACTTTAGTTGGCAACTCCTCGAAAGGAAACACCCACTGAGCAGATTGTCTTTTGGTTTTAGGATCATAACAGTAAATCCAGCTTTCGTCACCTGTTAGTATGTCGAACACAGCATTTGAGTCACCTCCGTTAAATCTTTCAATCATTTTACGACACCAATCCACACGATGGAGTTTTTGAGCCTCAGTCAAATTATGAGGTATCCACCGGGCGCAAAGCTTCCTGACCGCTAAATGTTCGTGGAGGATTTTGTGCACTTGACTCATACCGATGCCTAAGCTTGTCCGAATCTGTTGATAGGTCACTCTTTTGTCAGTCTCTATCATACGCCGCACAACACAGATGTTATCTTCAGTCGTCGCCGTAGAAGGCCGTCCCTCACGTAAATCATGAGTGAGATTAGTGCGACCACGTTTAAACTCATTAAACCAGTTGTAAACAGTCGCACGAGATGGGGCTTCATCGTGAAAGGCCGATCGTAGTCTATCATAACTTTCTTGTTGACTTAAATGACATCGAAAGTCATAAAAAATCATTGCACGAAAATTTTCTCGTGTTAAATTCATGATGACGTGACACAGACAATTTTCAATTTGCCGCCAAATCGTAAAACAAATGACAAATGAATGAAATATATACTCAGTAATATTGGCAAAGAGTTATATTTTCAAATTTTAGAATTATTTTTTTATTATATTGTTTATAAGTGGCCAGTTCTAAGAACTTTCAGTTTGACCCTCGTATATCATTGTAATTTTTACATATGATATATTTCTATTGTCGTTATAATAATAAATATTAAAATAAAAAAAGCATTTAAGGGGGCGCCCACACAAAATACGTATTTTCTTTGCTCGCACTTGGCTTAATACTCATATTCTTTATTATTTTTTGTTTAGGCTCTTGTTGGTTATCCTGACAGCGAGCAGTTTCACATATTTGAATTGACTAAACAATTACCAAGATTTTCAATGTATACCATAGCCCCACAAAATGTGATAGTTTCAAAAGATAGCTATGTGACCTTCAGAATAACAGAAAGAGTACAGAGAATTTGTATTTGGATAAACCAGAACTTTCTCTTGGATCAAGAGTTGGAGCTCACGTCGGAGGAGACAAAGGAACTCCAGTTGACTCTATACAGTTTGAGGGACCAATCTTTACTGAACATGAATTTTGGATCCGATGGAAATGTGAAATTTTACACATCCGATATCAGATTAGCGGGAGACCTTGTACAGAGTCTTGCTATTTATTTGAATCTCATTGATTTACAGGTAACCAGTTATGATTTAAAAAACACCACCTTATTTATAAAAAAACTTTAAGGGTTAAAAATTGAACAGGCAAGTTCATCTGTGTAAATGATAGCCTATGTCATCTGCATACAACAGGCGGTGAAAGAATTTTTATAATAGGTCCAGTATTTTCAGAACTTATTCAATGCAAACAAATAAGCAATCTCAAATAATATTAGTATACAATATTAAGATGACTTTATATTTAACTCAATTCTGTACCAGATGGTCAGTGTTGTTATATATTTTCTTTACAATTTTTTTTAAGTATTTTGTTATAAATTAAAAAAAAGATGGAAGTTGTTCTTAAAGTTTTTTAATTTCACATTTTTAAACTTAGACATTACATACAGATCATATCTTACTGCCCATAAAGTTCTACAAAACCAACACATTTCACAGGATTAAAGAAAAACATGTTGTTGTGTGGTGGTTCTCTCTGGCTCACTGCCTTCACTACCTCTTGGCCGATCACACCTCCAACTACTGCAGCTGCTCCAGCAACAATTCCATACACATCTGTGAGGAGGTCATCACTTATGAATCCAGCAGGCAGTGATAATTCTTTAACAAGTTCATCTCTCATACGCAATAGTGTTTCAGTGTCCGATTTTCTTTTGGCTGGATCTGGGTTCCTATTATACTCATCCCTGAATCTAAGTAGAATTTTTAACACGAAATAAGACGGGTCGCCACGTCGCAACCTAGAACGTAGTTCTGGCCTCCTCCAATCGGCTGAAAGTGCATTTTGAAGTGGCACATAGATAGCTCGACGTTTTACTGTGATACTGACAGTTTCTCTTGCATTCTTTTCTGTATCATCTGGGCCACGTTTCACGGCTTTGTGTTGTACTATCTCCTCAGAGTATTCATGATCAACGAGATCGGCGAACATATATCCGAACATGCCCCAAACATCGCCACATAAGAACTTTTTATTACTGTCTCGACATACATTGTTGATGCGTTCTAGCTGTTCCTGTTTTAATCCAGTAGCACACACTATATCAAAAGTAGTGAAATATTCATCTGGCAAATCATCGACAGCTCTAGTTTCTGCAGTTACATCCACCATAGGATTCAGTGCCCGTGCTCTTTGTAATGAAGCCTCAGCTCTGTTTTCCCCTACTTTATCTGGAGGTGTTAAGAACTGAGAGTACAAATCGATTTCTTTGAGTTTCTCGTTGTCAAGTAAACAAACACTTTTTACACCAGACAAAATAATGTTTTTCGCGGTTTCTGCTCCCAAGCCGCATAACCCGATGATGAGCACTTTGGAAGCGCGTAATCTTTTCTGCGATTCCAATCCCCACAGACGAATTTGGCGATCATATTGTTCTGCTTCGGCTTCTGAAAGTTCGACTTCGTTGTTTTCAACCATTTTCAGTGAGATATAGTAAATTTAAAAAACCTTGCTATAAAATTTGACAACACACGCCACCCGGTATACAATCAACAAGAACACGACGCCATTTTGATCACAATAGAGTTGTGCACATACGATATAAACTTTTAATGACTAAGTATTTAAAAAAAAAAATTAGTTCCCGATATCAAACTAGATGTCGCAACAGTACTTTTTTGATTTCTCCATGACAACCCTTCCGGCTTTCTTTTATGTTTAAAAGTAAATTAATTTTGAAAACTCATTAAACTCATTCATTTTTTTTTTATAAAATACTTAAGGATAGGATAAAAGGATAATTTTAACGAAATGATTTTTTTATTTATATACTATATAAATTACAGTCTGTTGCTCAATTTGCGGAAACAGAAAAAAAATTACGGTATGAGATGGAAATCGCTTCTCAAATGGGTGAAATGAGATCGCGTTTAGCTGCTGAGACGGCTGAAAGAGCACAACTAATTACAGCACTTCTACCTGCAGCACAGGATGCAGCAGCATATGATATGTATGTAATAATAATTTTCATGACAAAAGCCATAGTTGCTACCTTTTTATTAATATTTTTTTTACAGGAAAGAGATGTTAAGTCGCTATAAAGAAGTACTGATGTTAAATGAAGAACTTCTTGCTAATTGCCACGTTCGGCGAGCAACACAAGAGCAGGCAGTTGCTTCTTTAAAGAATCTTCATACGATTTTGCAACAGGCATCAAGATTGAGAGGTCATTATTTTATCCATAGGCTTCTATTTATTTTTGTATTTTAAGATAACGTTTAAATCATCTGTTGAGCATCTCTACCACCATCCTGACTTTCAATTATTATAAATCCCGCAATTTGCTAACGCACTGGAACCTTGCCTATATAAAATCCGTGTAACGTCATATGAAAATAGAAAGTACAGATGGCACAAAAATCAAGAGATAAATTATTTATTTATTAATGAAATATTTGAGAATAAATGTCAATGAGGACATAAAAGTTAGTTATAGTACTTAAAATTAGTTCTTGATCAAACACGATGTCACTAGCGATTGTCGGATAATTGTCTATGGCATTCATTCAAATATTTATTTTCATTCAAATCGCTTGATTTTGATATTATATTATTATCATTCGACGTGTGGATTCATAATGGCACATATGGAAATACTGCACATAAAAAAAACAAACTGAATTCTGCACTTAGCTTTTTATTCTTCATTCACAACCTCAATTGAAGTTACGAGCTTCCAATAATAATTGGCTCATCACTAATGTTGACATATAAACCAAACATCGTTTCCTATTAATTTTCGATACCTACTCAATTTACTTTTATTACGTCAGAAAGAAAATTTGAGTTTGAATAAGGAAGTTTTTAAAAAAAATTCGAAATCAAACTAGATGTCACTACGGCACGTTCTTTATTTCTCCATGACAACCCATCCGATTTTCTTTTATCTTTAAAAGTAAATTAGTTTTCAAAACTCAGTAAACAACTCATATTCTATTTGTAATTTTTCGTATTTGTATTTATATCTAAGTTTCGAACTTTTCAAATTTTAGTTTTTTAATGTGTTAGTTAAAAGGAACGGAAATTACTGTCTTTGGTACATTTGTTTCCTGCAAAAATCAACTTTTCCTAGGTGCTTTTTTAGTGCTTTCATTTTTTTAAAATATTTCCTCATTCAAGAACAATTTTTTTTTAATTTTTAAACACTTCCTCATTATCTCATCAAAATGGCGGCCAGGCGCATTAGTAATTACTGGGATTATAACTCTGTATATGATTGTGATAGAATGGAAAATATAATTTAAATATCTTTTGGAAAAAATATATTGAAGAGTTTACTTAAAAATAAGCTGTATGGACGCTTCCGAAATCATAAACTAATAATATAAAAGAAAATATTAACGTCATTAATCCATCAATACTACTAACATAAACATTAAAAGGTAGGTAGTGATGCTAAAGTAACTGGTCGAATTCGATTTCCTGTATTTGTTGCGATCAGTAAAAAATCTAAGAGGCATGTTTCACTTGCACTATTTTCAAAAATTTTTGCGGGTGGTGTATCATAAACTCTGTCTTTTTATGGTAAACCTTAAAAAGTTGACTTTATACTTCCAGTTGGAAAATACAGTAAAGCTGTTGTGGCTGCTAGTAGAAAGGCAGTAAAAGAAGACAATGTTGAAGCGCTTATAAAGATATTACAAGTTGGAGATTCTTGAATCGATAAATGTATCAGCGATATAAAATAAAACTAGTAGTTATGGAATTATCATTTAATGTAAAAAATAAATATTACTTATTTGGCTCGCTTTATGTTTTTAATCCATTATATATATTTTTTTAAATTTCGTCTGTATTGAGAAGATTATAAATTATGATATTTTCGATACAGAACTGTTATTTCTTACGAAACTTTTTGTTTTTATGTTCAAACAGAAAGTATCCTATTTATTAAAATGAGGTTAATATTGTCTGGTCAACACAGAATTCAATTACTATTTTATGATATACAATTTCTCAAGGCAAGCTTTTTGCAATGGAGTTAACAACCAAGAAGCTAAAGAATCATAAATCAAGTAACAAATTAAATTATTGATAAGTTTTGCTGTTGGTATGCAGCTCTCATGTTATTGGTTCACTGACGCTACGCTAGTCGACAAAATGTTTCAATCGAACTACCTCATCATATTGTATGGTCGAAGTATTTTTTCATCGAATATTCTAGGGCGATATCTCACATTTCTAGCATTCTTCAAAAGGAAAACCTAGAACCACAGGAATAACGGTAATTATAATCGTCTTTTTAAAAATAGTTTTCGTTCTTCTCGACATTTTTAAAAATAGTCTGCTCTTCACACGCTGATCTGTCTCGTGGCATAGTGTACATCATCAGCACTGACATTTAGTAATAGTCTCGGTTCTGACGGTTTAGGCTCGAGCAGCACAAGTCTGGCGGCGGCCAATCGCGCGCATATCGCTTGCGCCTGCGCCGAAGTGGGGGCACGTATAGAACCGCTCTTATACGGCCGACCGTCTAAAGCTATTATAGCGCTAGCTGTCATCAGAGCACGCGACAGAGTGGTCTCGTCTGTACCAGTCCTTTCTACCTGGAATATGTCAAATATTTAATAACAATAGAGCAAGAATAAAAAAAACAAGTTATTAAAATAAATGTCACTGGCTGTTTGAAACTTTCTGTCAATTATCAAGAGGAAACGATGACGTCAAAATGAGAGTATTTACGTTCCTTTACACGTAACATAGAGAAATTAGCCATTGCTAATTTTTGAAATGTCGATATAGCAACATGAAGGATAATGTTTCTGGGCAGTAGTTAGGTGTAATAATAATAACATTTTATTGTCAATACCACAGATATCTTCATAAACTTATCAAACTAAACAATACATCAAAATATAACAAACGGCGGTCTTATCGCTGAAAAGCGATTTCTACCAAAAAACCTTTGGACGGATAGGAATGTTAATTGTAACGTAAGGGGGGTGTAAACGTAGGTAATATCAAATAAATTATTGAAGCATAAAAATAATAGACACCAGAAGATGACAAATACATATACTCACATAAATACATATAACATAGTATATAAATACATAAAACATAATATATTCAAATAATAATGAAATGAAGAAAAGGTTATCAGCAGTTAAAATATATTAAAAAGGCAAATAATTTTTTTCACCATTTCTTTGAAGATATTTAATGATTGAGTACGTCTTATGGAAGTCTGAAGAGCATTCCAAAGACGCACAGTTTGGACGGTGAAGGAGCCATCATAAAAAATAGTTGTATCAAGAGGGGTTTCAGGATTTTCAATGATCACAAGGAATGTGAAGTACAACAGTATAGCGGATTGAAGTGTTCTTTCAAATAGCATGGATAAAGGGTGTTAAACATAATATTGTAAAGGCATGCCAATTTGGAGATCAACCTAGAGCTACCTACTATGATTGCATTAGTTTTTAGTTAGCTTTAAGTTACAAATAACTTGCTCCATTCTATAGTGTATAGTCACCTCGGCAGCTAGTGCCCTCAGTATGAGTGTCTCAGCGGGTGAGCACGCACGTATTGCTCGTACGGCTGCACTCGATGCAGTTTCACCTAACGCCTTTTGCACTTCCCTCAATCCAGCACCTATAACAAAGATTATATTTATAGAATAGGCATGATTCTATTTTTTACCGTGTTTAAATAAATGTGGCATTGGTTTTATCACCAGTTTATTAATGTCTCCATTGTTGAGGCTGACCTTCCCTATGGGTGAAATCGAATCAAATAGGGAGAACGAGTGTTGACCCACCACGCGGACCCAGTGTGGTATAGTGGGTATTAACGACTGCATATCCAGCTAGGCCCAACGGCTTAGCATGCCTTACGAAGTACGGAGGAGCTCGAGATTATAAATTTTTCGTCACCCATCCTGTGACCGGCCATTGCCAAAGTTGCTTAACAACCGTATCGCACACCGAGCGCGCTAAACCACTGCGCCATTGAGCTCCTCCATAATAAAAAAATAATGAATAAACCTTCAGGTCCGGCTAGTTCTAGAGCTCGACTGCACAGTGCTAGTGCTCGACGAGCATCCCCGGATACAGCAGCTACTTTCCTGTAATAAAAAATAAATACCTTGTGTATTAGCACAACTCAAAGTCAAACTGATATTCATTTGAGGTAACAAAAGAGGATCTTCCTCTTCTTAAAAAAAAAAAACTTTGAATAATGGAAAAAAGTTCTTTAGTTTTATGTACATATATTTTTATATTGTGTTCATTACATTAAGTAATTTTAAATAGTACCTGTGTGCTAAGAGTTAAGACAAAAAAAAAATTTACATTCATTAACATTACTATTATAAATATTCTGTTTTTTGAAAAAATATTATTAGTGGTAATACAGGTGTAAACGGTTGTTATAACACATATTACAATGGCTAATCTAAATATGTGTTCCTACCTGGCAATAAGCTGCACCGCGTCCGGTGTAACGTTAGCTCCAGCCAATCTCGTCGCTACTATAGTCTGTAGCTGCGTGTGAGTGTAAGGAGGGAAAGTAAGTCTAGTGAGTCCAAGTCTAGAGGCAACCCTGGCCGCTAGAGCGCGCTCCGGTAAATCCATAGTATTGGCTACGGCTACCACTGTTAGTAAAGCTGTATTGTGCGATGCCCATTCCATTATACTGTATAGGACATCTTGACGACGTGTACAGAGAGCGTCCAGCTAAAACAAATTTTTCAGATCACATTTACATCGGTTTGAATGCAAACGTATTGTTAAGTACCAAAGCAAAGAGATGTTGCATTTATGCGTTGATAGATGGCGTTGGTATCTAGACAAAAATCTAGAAGATTTTGTAGCGACGGGAGTAGTGACGTTAAGAGTATTTTAGTATTGAATCATGTGAGTTGGACATATTTGTGACATTTTCTTCTCTCACATTATGGGACAGAATGGTTAGTGGGTTGTCTCCTATATTTGAATAACTACCGGTCCGCCCTAGCTTTGCACAGGTATTCAATACATACGGATAATTAACGTGTTTGAAATTTTTCTATTTCTATGTTCATTAGGGATAATATCGGATTCTAATAGCAAGAATTTTTCAATATATCCACTTGTTTCTGAGACTATAGAATCAAACAATATTTTCTCTTTATAGACACTATACAGCACCCAATAGACCGTTCTGTCACAAACCAACACAGGAGTGTTTCGGCACAGGCTAAATACCTATAGGCCTATATGCAGCACGCAATTTTGGTCAGTGACGACAAGGTCTAGTGGGTGTTGTGTCATATTATTTGATGCAAAGAGTATTTTTTGTTCCCTAAAATATGTATAAGTGAAGCGACATTATGTTATTGAAATGTGACATCACAACTCGGAATGTCACATGACTGATGCTTTAGTGGGCCAATATAAATCAATGAATAAAAACATGTTTTTAATTAATGTAATAATACTTCTTGGAGAAAAATAATCTCACCTCATCAACTAGTAATACAGTTGGTGTCCTCCTAGGACCAGGATTGGTAAAACGTTTTTCTAATAATGAGCATGCTTGTTCCCACACAACTGACTTACCTGCAAAACAAAAAAAAGGGTGAAATACAGCAAACAATCAGCTTATGGTTGCAATGCAGAAGTTAATAAATTTTTTCAAATATGTATAAGACTTAAAATTTCCATAAATCATCATCATTATATGAATGAATATGTGTTATATGGGAGTATTATATTAAATAAATAAATCCTATAACAAATTTTAAAATTGCTATTTTGAGAAATATATTACCAGTGAGTTGTTTATAAATTTGAACATAAGCTTGTCTCGGTTCAGCTATCCTCATGCCATTGACTTCGACAAGCTGAAAGTCTGGCAGATCTTCTTCTTCCTTCAGGAGTTTTAGTGCTGAGCAAACTGTTGCAGTCTTACCGGTTCCTGGTACTCCTGAAATATACATGCACCTGGTGGTGCATGATATAGTCTGTTATTGATTGTGCAGCAAGTGTTTCGACTCTAGGGTAAGTTTACATGTATAGCATAGTCACTATACAGATATCGTAAACATTTTAGGCACATTATGACAAAATTGGCTAGATGCATCTGTGTGAGCACATTAGCAATATGTTTGTGCATAATTGAAAGAGATGTTATAGTATGAAATTATCTCTGTTCAGTGACTGTACACAAATTACAATTGTTTCCTTTTAATGCCTATTAGCTTACCCACTTGTACTGTCCAACAGTTTATTCCTTATAAATGACAGTATTTCTTCCATCTGACTTTCCCGACCAGGAAGTGATTTGTTCTCTTTCATGTAATCTAAACATAAATAAATTCAAGTTAAACAAACAACTATAATAAAGCAATTTAGGAATAAATAACAAATTTATTTAAGAAAATCATTTACCATCAATATTATCAATCAAGTGAGCTCTTGTATGTAAAGTGGGTGTTAGTGCACTTGTACTAATTTTTGCAATGCTGCGTTTTGGGGTCTTCATAGGAGTAGCTTTTGAAGCCCTTGGTGTTCTAGATGTCCTTGGAGTTTTGGGATAAGGTTTAAAATATTCATCATCAATATTATCAACATCCATTTTACATATTGACTTCCTTGGTGTTCTTTTTACAGGCGAAATATCCTCTTCATTATAGTTAATGGTTGCTTTAGATGTTTTAGACTTCAGAGTTTGTTTCACTGTGAAGGTATCTTTCTCCATATGTGTAATTTGACTTTTCCTAACTCTGACAGAGTATTCATCAGCTTCAATGGATTTGTGCACTGATTTTCTTGGTGTTCTTTTTACAGGTGAAATGTCTTCTTCCTTATAGTTAACATGTGCTTTTGAAGTTCTTGTAGACCTTTTTACAGGAGTTGTATCTTGTGCCATATGTAATGAATTTTTGTCCTTATCTTCATCATCAAATATTAAAATCTTTTTAGGAGTGTCATTATTTGTTTTAGATATAGATTGTTTTCTTTTCGGTGTGCCTGTCACATGTTGTCTTATGATTAAAACTGGTAAATCATCATCATTATCAGAATTTTCCTGAAGTTCCATAGATAAGATATCCTCTATTTTGTTTCTTGTTAGTTTTCTAGAACTCTTTGGAGTCTCTGATGGTGTAACAGTAATTTTGGTTGCAGACTTTGGCGTTTTCTTAGGTGAATCTTTGTCATTTTTGTCAGCTAATATTGCCCTTTTCAATAGAAGTTTTGTTCCATCATTTTTAGATACACTCCAACTCTTAGGTTCATGTAAAGTCACCCTGCTCATTCTTTTCACTAAACTAGTAGGTGTTTTTGGTGTATTATTAGTAGTTGGCACCTTATTAGGCGTTGAAAGTAATTGTAAAGCCTTGCGCTCTTCTTCCATAACTGGTTCAATGTGAATCTTCCGTTTACTCAAACACATGAGTCTATAACGACAAATATAATGAAATGGTTTAAGAATCTTAGTATCCATTATGTCTTTTGTGTATGTCATCGTAATTGAACATGTCTTGAAGAAAGTTTCAATAGAAACATCCGTGTCGAATGGACGGTGATCTTCAATAACCTAATGAGAGTGTTTATATTAGAATATATTGTATTAGTAATTGAATATATTTGTTCCATAAAAAAATATGTGAAAATTCAATTCTAAGGTGGGCCAATAGGGATTTTAACTGTGTAACATTTCAGAATCTGGGCAGCAGCAGAAGACCAAGATTGAGGCAAATCATAGGGCATTTGACGCTAGTAAATTTTTGTAAATATTACTTTTTCTTTATAAAATTCACAGTGAACTAAATTTAATTAAATAAAATAAGTGTTACTAATAAACAAGGTTTAGCATTATAAAACTTTTTTATTAATAGCACTGAATAACTTAAGTGTTTATTTAATACATATATTCTTACCTCAGTTTCTCCAAATTCAATAGCATCCATTTTGTTGAAGCACCAATTAGGAAGTGCATCCGGCCTAGAGTACCATTGGACTTTAGCCCGAAATGGATCATTCTTATTTGATGTATCTTCATAAAGCTCAAGTATTCGAGCTGCATCACAACCCTCTTCAGTATCAGGTTCTGCTGCATCAGCATTAGATATTAATACAAATTGACCAATTTCAGCTATTATATTTTTAAATTGGAATTTCCTGGAATAATAAAAATTATGTTTAGCTTGTTGTATAATGTCATTTCGTTTTTAATTACATTACTTAAGGTTAACAAAAAGAATTATACTTTAATAACACCTAAAATGTCTATATTACAAATTAGGTAATTTGTCAAAAATTAGAGCTCACTACATATTATATTTTTAATTTAGTTCTTACGTGTAATAGTGGAAGGAATTTGATAAAGTGGGTTTATCAATAATCTCTTCACTGAGCCATTTTACAGGTCTTTGAACAGTTTTCCTAGGCATTATAAAGCGCCTTTCTTTGCTTAGATTATACTAATATTGTGAGTCTGTGTGTTTAAAAAATATATATTTTAACATAATAATTAAGAACAGAATCACTGTAACTATCGTGACATTGTATTGTAATATTGAAACTGTTTTCTCTAGTATTATTAGTTACGTATTATAAAGACTTTTCCATCACTATACTCAGTGTTAATTAAATATTTTCAATCGAATTTATTCCTAATTATTCTTCTTTTTCTTAACTTTAATGCCCACTCTTAACAAATAACGATTTTGCTTTGTATATTACTGTCAAACAAAACATATGTAGTTTCGCGCCTATTTTGACAGTTCGTTGTTTTGTTTTTTTTTTGTTTAATTTGTCCCCCTTGTTTGGGACGGGCAAAGGATGTTAGGTCCATACAGCCCTGCCTGGATTTTCTTGATCTTTAAATTTTTTGAACTGTATTTTTGTCAAATCTGTATACAGGAACATAACTGTCAATGATTGATAAGAGTTTTAGCAACTTAAGAAGTTGCGCGGGATGGTCTATAATATTTTTTTTGTTTTTAAAAGTTTTACCGGCCCTGGCTTCCATGGCCTTAATAATCACGCAGACGATGTTCTGAACATTGACCGCTAACGCGTTCCATTTGGCGGCAGTGGTTCCGAGCTTCAGCAATCCTCTTATCTGCTTGAGCACGTGGCATCGTCCATAACACTGCTCCAATACTTGTATGATCTCAGCCGGGTCCGTAGTGGTTGCTAGCAGCGCCGATACGGTTTCTCTTGCTTCCCCCCTCAGGCAGATTCGAAGTTGCGCCAGGTTCTCCATCGGCGTAAACTTGTACAACTGCGTAGATTCGCTTAGAACGGCTTTGAACTGTAGCCACTCTATCGGTGATCTGCTGAATAAGGGTAGTTCCGTTGCTTACTTCGGCGACGGTCTGACGTTCTCTAGTACGTCTGCCAGCTTCTCCATGCCCCGTTGCTGTCTTGACAGTGATCGTCGTCGTTGTGGCTGCGGTTCTGCAGCGTGCGCTTCAGCCTCCCCCCCTGCGTCGACGTAGGGAGCGCGTCGTGATGCGCGATGCGGTGTCGTTCTTGCCGCTTTTCGTTCTGGTTGTGGCGCTGACTCTTGTTCCGTGTGTTGTATGATCGAAGAGTTTTGATTTAGCCACGTGCCGATGCATTCTTCAACGTTCGTATCGTCGGCGATACTCTCGTGGTCCAACTCCTGTATAGTCGCTTTTTCCCATGCCAGCTTTTTCTTCATTAATTCCGTTTCCATACGGATCTTCATTTCTATTAGCCGGCGTTCGGTTTCATATTCGGCTCTCAATATCCTTACCGTAGCGCTGGCTGAAGATCGCCGCCGGACGTGTAGGAGTCCGTTGCTTCTCTGTGATGAGTGCCGAGGTGGCCCCTTGTTCTGAGTCCTTTCCTTCCCTGGTTCCGACGGGAATAGGACTCCCCTCGTGTGCAGCGGTTTTCGTTCCATCGACCATAGAGAGTGAGGCGGGTGACAGCTCATACAACCCACGGCAAGCTTGCTCCAGTAACGCATCGGTAGCGCGGTGGTCCTTAGTGGAGCTTCTTGTTCGCGGCATCTTGCTATACCTTGAGATGTACTCTGTACCGATGCAATTCTCGTCCTGACGTACTCTGTACCAACGTAGTTCTCGTCCTGACATCCTCTGTACCAACGTAATTATCTTCCTGACGTACTCTGTACCGACGTAATTCTCGTCCAGACGTACTCTGTACTGACGTATTTCTCGTCCGGGCGTACACTGTACCAATCTGGCTGTGCTTCGACGCCCGTAGAACACGCTTTCTTTTTCCCGGCTTCGGACGAGCAAAACTGTAGCTGCTCGGTGATCTTCCTATCCGGCTTCTGAAGAATCAGAGAAAACTCCTTATCCGGCTCTTGAAGAACCAGCAAAAACTGTTGGGGATCAAAACAACAAAATGTTGTTTACATATTTTAGTAAATTCCTAGTATGTGTGAAATCATTTGATGTGATATAAATATAAAAAACTTTATAATAAATATTTATTATGTTGATAACAATTCAATGCAGCAGAAATGTTGTAATAAACATTTCTTTTGAAATTCAATATTAAATAAATAATCATTACATTACTAAAAAAATGTTCTATGAAGTTTCTAAGCCAATTGGGCTTTCGTAATGAATTAAATTTTATTTCGTTTGTAAAAATAATAATATTAATAAAATTAATGTGACATATAATAACTTAAAATTTTAAAACAGTTACCATTAAAATACAAATGTTTCCACTGAGGTTATTTTAGTTTAAATTTTTTGATCAATATTTTTTTTATAATGGCAAGACGAAAAAACGAGACACACGGCTTTTGTTGTGACTTTCTTTCTCTGCTTGGATTATCTTCTGTACAGAGAGCAATTAAAAGTATCCCCTTAGCAATAGTGATAAGGTTCATGTTTATTATTTTAATTTTTCATTCATTCAGAGTTATAAGTCCTGTTAAAATACTAAGTTCATGGTGCTAACTCGAACCACACATACCTACTAGCAAGCTACATATTGTTAATCTGCGATACTTACACCGTTAAGTGAACCACACCACGTGCATTATCTGAAAAAATATTATAACTTCCTAACAACAAAAATAATATATAACCGACGCCTTCTAAACAAAAATAACCGCAAATTTTCTAGCCTCAGACATTTGCCTGCAAAATTGTGATATTTGTAGCCAATGAAATAGTTAAAAAAGGTAACTGTCACTGACCCTTATTTTATGAACTATGACGTGCGGAATATTAAAACTTGATTCATTTCCATCATCATCTTTCATTCATTTCATTTTCATTTTCATTTTACATGTAGAAATTAATTTATTCACTTGACATTGGCAGAATTGTGCGAAATGCGCAGATAAGCCATTAATAAAAGAAGAAGAAGAAGAGTGAGGTAGACGCAACTCCAGTTAACACCGTACTCGTGTTAATAACTCGAGATGATACATCACTAATACTGTTTTTTTTTTTGACATTGACAATTTGACGTATCAAAGCAATATCAAAGTGCACGTGCGTGGTGTTAAAGTTGGAGTTTTGGTATATTAAAATTTTTATATAAATGTTAAGAAGAAGAAGAATTTTAAAATGAAATTTAAGAAAAGTAAAGGCAATAAAACCACATTATCCGATAAAATTGCGGATGCTCTGACTTTGAAACCGCGTGCTGATATTGAAGATGACCAAGTGTTTGGAACTAAACCAAAAACTGTTTTGCGCGCTGATTTCAGCACTTCAGACAGTGAGGATGAAGCCGCTATTAGTGAGTTTCGTAAGAGGAATGTTAATCTTTTAAGTGAAGTTAGTAAAAAATATGAAGGTCAAGTGGTTTCTCGGAAAGACTTGAAAAAAACTACGTATGAAAGTTCAGACGAAAGTGTTTTAGAAAGTGATCAGAGTAGATTGGAAAACACTGAAAATGATGACTCTGAATATTCTGACAGTTCAGAATCCATAACAAAAAACGATTTGAAACTCAATTTTAAATCCAAAATAAAGTCTCACTCTGAAAATGATTCTGACAGTAATGTAGAAAGTGATGATTATAGTATCAATCAGTTTAAAAAACACTTGGAAAACGATGATGATTCTAATGAAGAAAGTGATGCATATGATGAGGAGGAAGAAGAAGGGGAAGGTTACGACATCAGTCAACTGGAACAACCTCTCAAAGAAGACTTTGAGCATGTGAAAAAGCAAAATGTTCCTGAAGAAGCTAAAAAAGGCAAATGTGTTAGAAATCAGTTATTGCTATGGGAGGGATTGCTTGAAATGAGGATTCATCTTCAGAGATGTTTGAATACAGCAAATCAAATGCCCATGCCTGATACACATAGTGAAATGAAGCAAAACAGTGAATTTTTAAATGAATGTAACGCTACAAAAGTTAATATTACCAAGACATTGGATAAGTGAGTATTTCTGTTATTCTAATTCAATGTTAATGTTCTAGAAGAATCATAAAACATCAATAATCTTACAGGACCATATAGCAAATATTAGGGGTTAAAGTATGATATTGCCATTTTATTGTAATAGGTTCCTTGAATTGACATAGAATCGTTATGGTTTGAGGTTTTCGAAAGAAGCTTCACATGGTATCGCCTATTAATTGTTTTTGTAATTTAACTTAGACACGAAAGATTGATACTGCGAAAATTCAAGTGATTTTTTAATATGAGTTCCGACACGGCAGAAACAGCCCACAATACCAATGTTGCATTTGGAATGAGTTACATTTTACTTTTAATTATTTACTATAGTTCCAGTGTTTATAACTATACACAACACCAACATGTAGGTACTTCTAACAGTATTTTAATGACCATAGCATTTCCTTCTCTTTACCCTTAGTTTTATTTTATTACATTTTTAGTCATTGTTATGACAAATCATCATCAGCTCTTTTACGTCCCCACTGCAGGGGCTCAGGCCATCCTTATGGATGGTTAAGGAGGATGGGCCATGACCCTCCACGCTGGCCCAATGCGGATTGAAGGGTATTATCGACTGCAAATGCAGCCGGGACCAACGGCTTAACGTGCCTTCCGAAGCACGGAGTAGCTCGAGACAATTTTTTTTTTGGTCACCCATCCCGTGACCAATCCTTGCGAAAGTTGCTTAACGACAACGATCGCGGGCCGCGGTGCTTATCTACTACGCCACCGAGCTACTCTACTTGTTTAGTTATGACAAATATAAATATTTAATTTTGTTTTAGGTTCTTATCTATTCAAAACATATTGTTTAAAAAATTTCCGGAGACCAAAAATTTGTCTGTAAAGCAAAATCAACATGAATTAGAAAAGTCGACTAGTAAAGGAAGTGATGAAGAAATACCTAGTGACAGCGATAATGAAGAGATACCTTCGGATACGGAAGATGACGTAGAAGATATAGTTAAAGAAGAACAACCTAAAAAGGAAGAGAAATCACAAACAGTATCTAAGAAAAGAAAATTAGAAGACTATGAAAAGGAAATATCATTAGCACATAAAGCCTTCAAACCATTTAGAGATACAACAATCCAGAAATGGAATGAGAAAACACGTCTTGCTACCACAACAAACATGAAATCTACAATACCAACAAATACAATTTTACAACAAATATCATATATTCTGTCAGATAAAGATAAATTACTGAGGAGAACTCAATTAAAACGATCAGAATATGATATTGTAGGATATAAGAGTAAAATTGATGATAGCGAAGCGTTATGCGGTAATGGCAATGTGATAAGAGACAGAAAAGACAATGATGAATATATTCCAGAGATATTTGATGATAGTGACTTCTACCATCAGCTTCTTAGAGAGTTAATAGAATGCAAATCAGCTGATATTTCTGATCCAGTGCAGTTGAGCCGCCAATGGATAGCATTACAACAAATGAGAAGTAAAATGAAAAGAAAAGTTGATACTAAAGCAACCAAAGGTAGAAAAATAAAGTATGTTGTGCACAACCAATTAGTGAATTATATGGCTCAAGAGAAGTCTACAACTTGGAATGATGAAAGCACTAACGAATTGTATAGTTCATTATTTGGTAAAATGTTTGAAAGTAATAATGTAGGTGTAAATGAAAATCTTAGCAGTGTCTTTAAAATAAAAAATTAAATATAAATTGTCAGTTTACTATTTCCTAGCATGAATGTTTAATCACAAGTGTTATAATAATAGTTTAATATAGAAAAAATTAAATTTTATATATGTTGATAGCGTTGGCTAGAAAGCAAACACATAGTAACCCGCAAAAACAAAATTGATCTTCAGAGCAGAAAAGGTTTTAGTTTTCCTTAAAAAACTTACTTTCTTCTTATTCAACTTACGTTCAGTTGCACAAACGTCATTTAAGGTTTATTGACGACTTAATGCTCTAATGAATGTACTAAATTGGAATATTTATATAGGTAATGTGGCATTATACTAATGACAATTTTAATTGACGTTTAACGTTTGATAGACTTAATTACCATTAAGTTAACATCGATGTTCATAATATATTTTCTCGAAAAAATAAAACGTTTTTCTGCTCTGAAGAACAATTTTGGTTATGAGGGTTATTACGAGTTTGCTTTCTAGCATCGATATTGAAAAAAATCTTAGGAATATGTATGGTAACAAAACTGTAACTAAGTCGATTTTAATAAAAAAAAAAGTTTTTTTTTGCTCTGAACTACAATTTTGGTTTTGCGGTTTCTTAGGGTTCCGCACCCAAAGGGTAAAGCGGGAACTCTATTACTAAGAATTCGCTGTCTGTCTGTCACCAGGCTGTATCTCATGAACCGTGAAAGTTGGACAGTTTAAATTTTCACATTTCTGTTGTATCATCGACTAAAAATGCAAAAAAACAGAATAAAATAAAAATTGAAGGGGGCTCCCATACAACCGGCGTGCCACAACCACTCCGCTACGGAAATCTTAAACATTTCACCTTGCTTGTCCCTATATGCAGGGATTGGTGAATTTTTAAGCATATTTTTTGAAGTTAAATATCAGTATAGGTCAGTAATATTATAGTGAGATAAGATTTGTCTGTTTCCATCGAATATGCTCCGAAAATACCCCAACTTTAAAAAATCCCTCGTGTGGGCGAATAGCCTACGGGACATAATGCTTCCAGACTTCGTATTGCGAAAATTACATTCGGTAAATTTTAATAATTATAAATTTTATTGAAAATCGATTTCCGGGATAGTGGATAATAACGAGCGTGGTTGGCTCGTGACAGCGGATTGGTGTTTTGATTTTCAAGTCACTGTAATACGTGACGCAAGTTAATGCTTAAAATGTCTAATTAGAGAAATAATAGAGACAGGAAATATTTACAGTCTTTGTAGTATTTTTTTTCGTATCTAGCATCGATATGCTCGAGTATATTTATAGTATATTTTCATCCCCAAAGTATATCCAGGAATGAAAAGTCGTAAACACCATTCGGGGTAAAACGATACTTTTTTAAGTTGTTTTAATTTAAATTAATATTCATTTAACAGTTTTTAGCAATTTCGTATAATAATTTCTAGATTTACCAGTTTGTCAGTCTATATTTTCAGAAAATTGGCATTAAAGGATCCTAAATTTATTTTACGTTTTCAGCATCTATGTAGTTTTCGTCAAAATGGTGTTTACGACCTTTCTTGATATGCCATTTAGCAGTGATTATAAATTTAATGTTGCAAACATTTCTTTTTAACTAATACATATATAAAAAACATAAACTTACACATTTCGAAACTAAGATATCAATACAAATATGAAAATGTACAAATAGAATATGGGTTGTTTATTGAGTTTTGAAAACTATTTTACTTTAATACATGAAAGAAAACCGTAAGGGTTGTCATGGAGAAATGTCAAGAAAGTGCCGTAGCGATATCTAGTTTGATTTCGGGAAATTTTTTTTTTTAAATACTTCCTCATTCAAAATATAATCTAGCAGGACCAAACCATTCCCTTCCCAGTGAGGGTACTCCGCAGAGGATTTTATCAGGGTAACCATTCTTTTACCTCATGCCTAAGGGCATGTCCTTGTGGCTGCAGAGCACTGATTCAAGGCTTGCGTAAGGTGTAATTCCTTTGTTTTGTGTCTTTTCGTTATCAAAAATTTGGTCTAACTAAGGCTATAGCTCTACGATATCTACGATAAAATGCACTACTACGAGATTCTATTATGTAGTCACGGCGGAAGGGCATACTCGTAGCAACCCAGAATTACCGAGATTTTTAAAAGGTTATTTATTATTCATATATTAATTTCTAATGACATAACATCACATAATAAACGATAACAACATAAAAAGTTAATACCATTATAGCTTATTCTTGTGCCCTCAATATAGGTAATTGGTATAATTCTTACACGAGTAGGTATATATTTTTTCCTGTGGCTAACGAATGACGTTAATAATATGTATCAAAGCAATATACCTATAAAATACCGCATCACCGAAAAATAGGCTACGCGATTAATTTATTACAGATATTTAGACATAATTCAATGGAACCTGTGAAGGTCTATTATAAATTCTGGAAAAAAAAACGTCGAGTGAGAGTCGGAGTCCGACCGGAAACGAGGAAAAAAAATATACGTTTGAAGTATGGGATCTCCCTCAATTATTTATTTTATACTGTTTTTTTAGTATATGTTACAGCGCCCATGGAAATACATTATCTGTGAATATTTGATTTGTATAACTATCTCGGTTTAAGAGATACAGACACTAGGGCAATTCTTCTAATGTCATCGTAATTATGAAAGGTCAACAGTGTTTCAACTACTGAGGCTTCAACTTTTTGACACAGTTACTAAATCACAAAATAACAAAAAGGTATATTTGTTACCACTGATTTGTGAGGAAGATATTCCACTAATAATATTGGACTTGAGGTAGACGATGGCAAAATGCAAGTAGTAGAGTTTCTATTGAAATCCGATTATTACGTAAACATTATCAGACGAATAAGGTTCCGTGTTTGGCAACAATTAACGAATGTTGCTTAACAAAAACGAAAGACGCGGGCTGCCGCGCTTATCCACTACGCCACCGAACTATTCATGAATTGTTTACCGGATATTATTATATTTGGCTGCCTTAACACATTGCCAGTGACACGTTACTTATCTCCGTTGACCTGAGGCATGCGGGTCGGGTTATCAAAAAACCGTATAAATAAGAGAGCTCAGATTATAACCATTTATAATAAATACGCAAGTTTTTAAATTCATAATAAACAATTATTCAGTACTCATTTTGTATGCTCTGAATATGTTTTCATTATGTAATAACTGATTTGAGGAGCTAAAGTCACAGTGGTTAGCACGTCTGCAATGAGACGGTAAAGCAACTTTCGCAAAGGCTGGTCATAGGATGTATGACCAATATTTTATTATAAGTTTATTATCTCGGGTCCCCCTTAAATATTCATTTTTAGTATTTTTTGTTATAGCGCCCACAGAAATACATCATTTGTAAATATTTCAACTATCTGGCTATCACGGTTCATAAGATACAGCTTGGTGACAGACAGACAGGTTCCAGTTTTTTTTTTTTTTTTCCTCATAATATGGCAGGCACGGCTTGTGCATTTTGCCAATGTCAAGTAAAAAATTTGGGAAACGAATAGGAAAGAAATCGGATAAGGAAGGATGGGATCAGGAATGTATGGTATTTATAATCTTAAATATACTATATATATATATATTATCGTTGTTTACAATTTTATATTATTGAGTATGAGATATGATATGATACATTTATATATTGCTTGATCATAAGTATGTAATAGTGTAGCTATGTTAGTCGGGAATGGAACACGAAGGGATGTTAGGTCTTGCCAGAGGGAGGATCTTTGGAATTTAGGACAGGAGAAAATAATATGATTAACTGTTCCTTCATCTGATCCACAGTCACACCTAGGATCGTTGATTATATGGAGTTTAGCTAAATGAGAAGGCGCAGAAGAATGACCAAGTCTCATACGTGTAATCATAGAAGTTTCTAGCTTGCCACACTTCATTAAGAAGAACCAAGGTTTCAAAGGAATATGATTTTGTATCTGAGCATAAAATTTAGCTTTTGTCAATTTACTGATTTCCCACATTTGCTCCCATTTCTCGCGTAATATTACTTTTGGAATTGCTAATAAATCTGAACAATAGTTTTGAAAAGGAAAAACATCTCCACATGATACTGCCTCTTTAGCAAGCCTATCAGCTATAATATTACCCTTTATACCAACATGAGCTGGAACCCAGGCAAATTCTACATGAACTTCGTTTTCAATACATTTTTGTATCATTTGTCTGATGTCAAAAATAACGGGAGAATAACATTTTAATTTAAACGGAAATTTTTCTAAAGACTGTAAAGCACTCTTTGAGTCTGAAAATATTATAACAGATTTAAGTTTCATGATTTTACTGTATTCTAAGGCTTTCAATATACCAAAACATTCTCCTGAATACACGGATGATTCTGGAGGGAGTTTTACTTTCTGAACTATTTTATACTGAGAATGATAAATACCGACTCCAACGCAGGTAGATGTCGAATGTTTGGAAGCATCACAAAATATGTGATGATAGTCATTGAATTTGCTGTCAATCGCGATTTCAAAGTTTAATTTAGCGTCTAAATCTGATTTTTCAACTATGTCATAATGAATATTAGGAAGAAAAATTAACGATTTAAAATCGACATTAAAAATAGGAAGGTAATTTGATACATAAGTAGGAGAAGAAAGGGAGATGAATTTCTTATAACTAACAATGAGACATGGTGGAGTTTTATGTGTCCAATAGCTTGAAGTAGAAAATAATTCATAAAGTGCCTTAATCTTAGAAAGAAGTGGATGATTTGAACACTGAATAGTACGAAAAAAGAATTTGTCACAAATATATTGCCGTCTTAATTGAAGGGGGGGTTCACAGCATTCTATTTGTAAAGCGTTTATTGGGCTCGACTTCATGGCTCCCAATATTATCCTCAGAGCTTTATGTTGAATTTTGTCTAGCTTCCTAAGGGCTGTAACATTACCTGGTTCTAGCAAAAATGTACCGTAATCTAAAACACTTCTAATAAGGGCGTTGTAAACCAACTTTAAACAATATGGATGAGCTCCCCACCAAACGCCTGAAAGGCATCTTATCATATTTAATAAGCGTTCACATTTATCAGCAACATATACACAATGGCGGGTGCCTGAAAGTTTCGAATCTAAAACTATGCCTAAAAATTTCGCGTGATCTTTAACGGGAATAGCAGCATTATCATACTTTAGGGAGA